CTATAACTGCACTTTACATAAAAAATTTGACAATTAATAAAGATTTCAGAAAGGTGCCACTCTTACTATTTCGAATAGAAAAAAAAAAGTTATAGCCGCTGTTGTGGGTAAAGGACTGAGACACGATAGAATGTATTTAATAAATTTAAATTTAAGTTGCTAAATAGTACAAAGGTACATTATTACCTGCTCCTGACATTACGTTACTTACCGGAATTAGTGAAAGTGGACCCTTCGAACATTGTGTTATTAATACTATGGCAGAGAACACGCCCCTGCAGGAAATGTATCTAACTATAAGCTAACTTTAAGTTGATTAGGAAGGAGCTAAAAGTCGCTTATTATCTGTATATTTTCTTTGACGAAATGTAACTATATTTCTATGGCGATGGCCGCGAAATAGTCAAGGTTGGTTTACCTCTGCTTTAGATGTAGTCGAGGGTGGTTTACCTCTGCATTTGATGTAACTAACTTGTAACTAACTACTTTTGGACTTAAAATATCAATAGGAAAAACAAAATATTTTTATTTTTTTTATATTTTTTTATTATATTACATTTCATATTTGTTTCCATATCCTCTGTAGGTGGTGCCATATTCGAACTACGTCAGACATAATTTCAAAATGATAATATGAAATTTCGATCTTCCTTTTATTTGTCCTCAATTAGCAAAAGTATTTGTGAAGTGCAGGATATTTAAATAGAATCGCGTTTAAAGAAAACAATCTCCTTCATTACTCCTGCATTACCTACTTGTCAACTAGTTTCAGGTTAGCTTTTTGTAGCTACCTACAAGCTATATATTTTATAGAAATACCGCTAAAACCCTAACTACAAGTGGGTTATTTTTTATCAATTGATAATTTTTTTCTGCAGGGGCAATATACGTCGCATGAGTTTGCGGATATTCACCTAATTTACGTTGAAGCCTGCTGTAATGCCAGAGCTTCTCAAAGACTCTATGCAGAGCGATATCGCAATCGTCGGCATCCGGGTCGTGAAGTATTCCCCCGGACCCATAGTGAAATATCTGAAGGTAAGTAATTTTTACACCTTTCTTGTTTGAAGTCATTCTTCTTCTAACATTCATTTTACACTTTTTTAAGGCCGCATACTCGGAAGGTGTGGCGCCGAGACAGGACGTCCTGCAACGGTAGATGTTGAAGTTGTGTTAGAGGAAGTGGAACTAGGTCCATCGACCTCAGTGAGAATGATGGAAAGACGGACTGGAATACCAAAAACTATAATATATAATACCATCGATTTCAATCCCTACTACATTCAACGTGTTCAAGCTCTACAAGAGAGAGATTACCTGTCGAGGGTTAGATTTTACCGAGAAATGCTGCGAATGCATAAAATAATTTGGAGCGATAAATCATCATGCAAACGTGATGGTTATTTTAATTTACATAACCTTCACAGTTGGCAGATAGACAATCCTCACGAAATGAGAGAATATCGTTCGCAGTACCAGTACAAAATAAATTTATAGTACGGTATTTTTAATTGTCGGATATTGGAACCTGTGGAACGCCGCCAATGCTCAACTCTCACAGTTATTTAGACTACCTTCAAGAACGGCTTTCAACTCTTTTAGGAGATGTACCCTTGAACCTGCGGTGAAGACTATGCCCTGCTCACTACGGGCGTTCATTTAGACGAAACTTATCCTCGCCGATGGATTGGACAATATGGGCCAATCACGTGGCCTGCTCGATCGCCAGCCCTAAATCCATTCGATTTTTTCTACTGGGGCTCTCTTAAGGACAAAATTTATTCAAAAACAATTCAAAACGAAGACCATCTGCGGGAACAAACAAATGGAGCTGCTGCTGAGATAGCCCAATTCAGTTTAGGATCTTTAAAAGCGACTTTTCTTAAAAGGTGCCGAGCTTGAATTAGAGTAGAAGGTCGCCAGTTTTATAATAAAATACCTTTTTTGTAAATNGTTTTATAATAAAATAAATTTTTTGTCAATTCCAATAAATTTCAATATTTCAAAAACAGTGACACTTTTACTTAAACAGTTTTTGCTTATCAGGGAGCTCACCCTCCCACCTACCTTCTCCTCAAATTTGGCAGCGTACTTCTGCGACACCCTGTATATGTAATCTAGGCATACTCGCAACATAGTGATCGCACGACAGAAGAATAAATGAGCAAGACAAAAAAATAACTTGATAAGAGTGGCCACAAGGCTTTATTGCAATGCAAACAAAATGCTTTTTAAACTAAAAAAAAATCAAAATTTTTGTGCAGCATTCAAGCTAGAAATAAATGTTTTATGTTTACCTTTTAAAAATATTTCAGAACTCCACCTCAGTATTCAATTAATTTCGAGTATACTTAGTAAGAAAACATTTACACATTTAATATATGTACATACATGCATGTATTATAAGTATATATTTATACAAATATGTATGTACATATTGCTGGCATAAAAAGTTGTGTGGCAAATGTGTCAACTTAGAAAATGTACGTATTACTGCCTTTATAGGGATCCTCAAAATCGGACACTTGCTACAATGAAACACGAAGATATGTAAAGTTATTATTAAGTCAAAGGAACTGAGTAATTAATAGCCGTCATCGATTCGCCACTTCGCTGCTTGCTATGTTTGAGTTCCGGTCGCTTAACGAAAAATTTCGCCTCTAAAAGCAACAACAAAGTTAGCTAGCAAGAATAGACGATAGCGAGTTTGAGTTCGTTCGTTTCGTCATTCGCTAACTGTTAGCGAATCGATCACGGCTAATATAGCATTGGCGGAAACGTGATGTATGAAATAGGCAGTTTTAAAAAAGTTTTTGTTTTAGGTTAGGCAAATAAAATGTATGTACGAGTATGTATGTATGTAGTGGTTCAAACTGATTACTTAATGTAAATATTTTATATTTCTTTCAGTTATTTATTATTATTTTTGCCATTTTAAAGCGTTTCGATGCTTGAAATTACTCTCATATAAATATTTATGCATTAATACATGTATACCCTGAGCACTTCGTTACACTCTACAAATTGAAAGATAGTGATTCTGATTAAATGTATGTATGTATGTATATCATATGCATTTACTTAATGAAGATATAACTACATACACACCTCTAGTTGTAGTGCTCTCGGTTAAACAATGTGGGTGCTCATACTTGCCTGGTTTTCAGGTTATCTGGTTAAAAATTATTTTTCTGTAGTGTATTTTATCGTTGTAAACTGAATAAAAAATAACCACATAATCAGATACCCTAATAACCAGGTAGGTGTGAACGCCACAATATTATTTTTTCAATTATTAAGTTTGAAAACTAACAAATTGGTTTGCATTCAAACTTTGTGTCGAGAATCGCTTGAACTCGAATGACAAATCAGTTGGTATCAAAGGGATTCGGGCAGGAGTACATCCTCTCCTTTATGTTTTCCAACAATAATAGTAGCTTCGATTAGGTAATTTAGTTATGTATTTGTCATGTTTGAAATGTAAAATTTAGGTTTTCGACTGCGGCACTCCTGACTGGTTCAATTTCCTACTAAATAATATAGGACATCCACTTCCCGTTTCGACCCCCAAAGATAGAGCATCCCCGATTTGGTAGGTCGTAATTTTGAGTGTTTCAATAAAAACCATTCGCCTCATTTTAAAAGGGTGGACCGATATCCTGGGACGCCCTCCGATTATTTCTCGTTGATATAAAAATTGTAATTACGCGATTGAAACTACCATATAAGGTCCGCCATTTTTAATTTGCATTGTTGTTGTTTTGTGATATTATAAAATTCTCCTAAAAATTTTCGATTCATAAAGCATTTCAAGTAGAGCTCTCGATTTTGTTCGCACATTTTCAAACAGCCCGGGTATATGAGCAGCGAGTACTCGCACACTTGTTCAATGCTCATTACTCGAAAATATTCGAGCATGAGCTCGAGCAATTCGAGTTTTTTCGAGTACTTTGAGCAATGTTTTTTTTATTATATTGACATTTTTGGTAGCAACTTTTTAAATTTTTCAAATTATTGATATATAATAATATAATTTATTTAACATAAATTAGAAAGCAGCTGCTGACAAATACAATTTACAAATTTTCTTTTGTTTATGAAATTGTTCAAAAACTCGAAAATTTTGAACAAACATTTGAGCAATTGAGCAATGAACGAGTTTCGAGCGAGTATCGAGCTACTCGCATTGCTCGATACCCGGGTAACTAGAGCTCTAATTTCAAGTCTTTTTTATTTTCTATGAAGTTGACTGTAAGTAAATTACCCATTTGAACCGGCCGAGTCTCAAAGATATTCACAAACCAGTTCTTGACCCATTAAAAGTTTTTTCTGTAGATTTTTGGAGCAGTTTTTGGAACACTTTAGAGTAATAATCCAAGGTTATAAACCAAAGTGAAAAATGTACGAGTAAGTGAGCCTTAATACACATTTTGAATAAGATTTGGCTAATTTTAGGACAAACTGTTTCCTTTAAATGTGACTAATATGTATGTACAGAATTTGAATCGACCCAGATAAACATATATGTATGTGAATTTCAGGAATCTTTCAATTCCAGCGAGACCTATAAGTCAATTTTTAATATAAGAAAGGAACCTAATTTCTCTTGGTAAACAGTGCCACGAGCCGGAAACTGTTTACCCTATGCACAACAGAGAACAGTAAAAATACATATCGTCGTTTAAAGTACAAAACTGCGTATTGTCATTCTGCAAAACCGCGTAACTGACATTGGCTGCCAAAAATTGGAGTTGCCCACACAAACTCTTGGCTCAATCCTTATTCATTCATGCCAGAAATGTGATTGCTTTATAAAAAGGAGAACCATTTTGAAATATGAGGGTTTTTACTATCTAGAAAATAATTTATGCAAAGCACATACGCGGTTTTGCATTATCTTTTTGCATTTTGTTGATACGCGGTTTTGTACTTTAAACGACGATATGTATGTGTATGTTATACGTTTGAGCTCAAACGTTCCAGTAGTTTGATANTTATACGTTTGAGCTCAAACGTTCCTGTAGTTTGATACTTACCAGCAGACATACTCAGGTTTTTAATGTATAATAGAGCTGCGAAAATATTTTTTTATAATTAATCGAATATTTTATTTGTTTTTGCCATCGCTAACGATAGCTCGTTCGAAGCTCAACGATTATTTGAGACTGTGCTGTTGCTGAACTGTTTGAAATTTCGCAGCCAAAGCAACAGAGCAGCAAACTGAAACCGACTGAAAACGCGGAGTCTGCGATTTCGGCACGACCAAAAGAAGAACAGTGAATATTCGAATAAATCGCTGCTGCAAAATCGCGCAAGTGTGTGGTTCCTCATTAAAAACTATAGTCGGCATAGTTGTAAATTTTGTCGGAACAGATTCGCACCGACAGAATCGCATAGGGGTGTGATACCTTTATGCTGACAGTTTTTCGAATAGAAATATGTGTGTAAATATGCATGAGCAAGGAATAATCTAATTGACAAATGTATTATGGTGATTTCGTTTCTTCTAAAAAATGTTACCCTTCCCCGGTGCAAAGGCGAAATTTTTTGGTAGAAACGAAATAACTATAAAATATTTGATTTCATGTGAATGTTCTTAATTCAAATATAATGCAGTTATTAAGAAATTGGCTAAATATGTATGTATTCTCGTTATGTGAAATAAATTATTTTGTGGTTGAATAAGTAATTTTAAAATAATAGCTACATAATTACAAAAATAAATAAATAAATAACTATATAAAGTGTTTAATAAGTTAATAAATGAGGTGTATTTACCGTTTGTAACTTAAAAATGTCAATAATTGAAAAAAAAATTGAATGAGCTGCCACGTTTTTCCTATTAACTACATATGTACATATGTATGTAACATATCCATCTTTGTGCATACATTACAAAATTTTGCAGTAGTGTATTAACAACTGAGCGAAATTAACTGATTTGTAAACTTAATTTAGTTTGTTATGCATCAACATTTATATTTTATACAACACTTTTAAAGTACGAATGACTTCGCAAATCTGGTTTTCATTTAAAATCTATATGCTATACATTCAAAATTTTAATATCTAAACAAACTGACTATGTTCTTCTTTTTGGATTTTTTTTTCTTCTTGTTTTATTTAAAAATACCAACAAACTTTACGCATTTACATTAATTTAAATACAAATAAGTATGTATATATACTTGCTTGCACATGAGTACTTAATTTATAAATACCTACATACATATTTCTAATTTAACGTACTTATTTAACTTAGTTCTTAGCGCTTTGTGCGCCAGCATGGCAAGGCGCAATCTGTCTTAGATTAATTTGAATTTTTGGTATCGTTTTTTGGTTATTTACATTTACGTACATGTGTATGTATGTATATATATAGTATGGTATGGTGTAACTAATGATTTAATTTATTATTGGGAATGCAGTTCAGTTTATTGCTCCTATGCGCATACACAATATTCATTCTGGCGAACAAAATCGAGTATAGAAAAATCATCGCTGGGCCATGTAATCCATCTAAATATGCACTTCCCGATAGCTTTGTCGTAGCATGTATTTCACTTGCCCACCATTGCGCCCAGCTGAGAGCACCACCCGCGGAGACTCTGCTGTGACGGACGTTCGTTGCTCATCCGCAGTTAGGCCAATGCCTTGGCTTTCGGCTGCACTGCTTTTCATTTCCTCACTTTCCAACTCGTCATCATCGTCGTCGTAGTCTTCGCAAAAAGAGTAGCCAAGGTCTTCTTCATCGTCATCCACTGTGACGTCATTACGATCGGCATCCTCAGTATTAATGCCACCACTCTCCTTTTCGTCGAAGTCTTTTGACAAATTGCCCGTGGTTTGCTGCTTTTCGTCGATCGATTGTTGGGTCCACTGTTTTGGCAATGCCAACTGTTTGTGCAGGTTCTGTCGGGTACCCGGTTTGGTGGCATAAATTAACTCCGGATGATGTTTAGTGAGCGCTTCTAAGGCCTCTAACGAGGCAGCGGGATTAAGGCTCACATGTGGTAATTGCGCACTTCGGGTGATTTGTTTGATTTCTTCTGCAAGCTCTTCGCTCATTTCAGATTTTTCTTCCTCCTCCTCTGCCTCGGCGGTTGTCAATTTGAAGGTCTGGCGAGTATTTTCCGTTATCGTTTCGTCAATTTGTGGTGCCATTCTTCCCATTATTGCCGGCGCTTCGCGTGCGTCTACTGGCGATGAAATTGGCTTAAAAATGCGCTGTTCGTGCCATGAAAGAGGCCGAAAAACTAGCGGGCCACCTTCTACGGCGTAGCGTTTGGATGAAGTAGGTGCAGCTGTTCCAGCTGGCGATAATGGTTCTGGGCGAACAGACTCTTTAACATCATCTGGCATAGTTATCGGCGCTCTTTGTTGTTGTTTTTCTTGCATTTGCATACGCAATTGCTGCAATTTGCAGTGTCGCAGTGTGCCAGCCACCGTTTGGGATGGCTGAAAGTGGAAGCTGTGATACTTGCGTAGTGGCAACTTGACTGGCCTGCGTCCCAAATAATCAACAGTTGAGGCCAGTGTTATTGTTGCACTTTCCTCATCCTCGATTTGTGGCAATATTAAATTCGTGATATCATCAGCGCAACCATCAGAATGGCCAGTAAAGTTCTCCTCTGTGGTTGAAATCTTTTTGGTGGCATCAATAGCAACAACATCACCTTCATCGGCATTACCACCTAACGGTACTAATCTGCGCTGCTGCGATACAATGTCCTTGCTGTTGCCGTTGTTGCCTCCGCACGATTTTCGTTGGATTAGCAACGATTGCTGATGTTGCTCACGTTGGCGGCCATTGTTGTTGTCATGCTGTTGTTGTGATTTAGCTTGCTGTTGCTGTTTATCTGTTGCCTTGAGCGCGCCGACCGTACACTTGGCGGGATGATTGTGGGCATGTGTTTGGCACTCGGCGGCGCGGTGGCTGTTGGAGTGGTCGTTGCCATAGGTGATGTACCGGATATGTGCGTAGGGGTCGCTGATGGTTTTTCGTCGTAGTTTCTTACCGATGCCATGGGCGCTGAGGCTGTGGTCGGTGGCAGTGGTGTTGAAAGCGCAGGCGGTCGCTGTTGAGACGCATTCACTTGCTAGAAATGGATTAGTGACGCCAATACCAAAATGCTGTTAGTTAGTTTGGGGGTTATTGTTGTAGCAAGCAATGGCATAATTTCCAAGTTAATTGTTGCATGCGACATGAACACGTATTAGGGAGAAATTGAGGGAATTCACGGTGATGAAAAGCATGACGGTTTGTGTACGGTAGAATGTAATAACCAAAATAGTATGGTGTTGACAGGTTGCGCAAACAAATGAATGAAATATGAAATGAAAAATATAAAAGGAATTGATTAAATTAACAGTTAAATAAAGCTACATAAAATATTATCGAAAAACTAACCAGAAATAAATCGCATTGTACGTAGGGGTACAAAATTATAATCGGTTCCGTGTGTACAATAAAATTAAATAAAAAAAGACAAAATAAATATAATATAATTTCCTCAATCTGGGACGTAGAACTTATAACTGATTTTTTTTAAACAATGCACTATGGCCTAAACGCCTGTTTTTCTGGCCACAACTAGCATCATATTTTTCTTGTTGCTATATTTTGCATAATACTGTAAAACATAGAAAGGTAAATTTGTTTTGTAAAAAGCTGTAATGCACTAACCAACTAAAAACTTCACCATGAAATGAAGTTATATGATTCGTTAGGGTAGAGGCCGGACACAATCGATAGCACTATCGTCACTATAGATGGTTTAAGACTAATGTATTGACTATCGACAGTTTCGAGAAAGTAAAAAAGTGTTAGAACAAAATTTAAAAAACGGACGCTCATTAAATTCTCATTAGATTTTGGTATTTATTTTGCAGCGATTTATGTGATCTTCTAATTGGTGGACTGAAGAAAAGGTTATCCAATATGAACACCGATCATTGATACGAAGGCAACTATCTTAGATAGTTGATTTTAAATGGATGGATTCCAATTGCGTAAACATAGTGCTGCCGTTCAAGATCCTTCAGTTACACCTACAACTATCGCACAAACCTTATAATTATTCGGTTTCATTGATACGCGGTACGCGGGTGTAAATTAGGAAACGATGGTCTGGTATAGATTCCATTATATAATTTCATCAATATTACGAAACTAATATCACTATAGGTGCAGACCCACTTTTATTTTAGTAGGTAATTAATAACTAGTTATTGTGAACAGAATATACATATGTAGATTTTGATAAAGAGAGTATTTTATAGCTCACAGCGGAAAATCTGAGTCCTAAGACAGAATGCGCGCTGAAATATTTATGCATTCCACCAAGTTTGGTGGAGCCTGAGCGTATTTTCAGCAAAGCCGGAATAATTATGAGTGAAAGGCGGTCTAGTTTAAAGCCTAAACAAAAAACAAAAGCTGCTTTGTTTTTAATAACAACAAAATTTTAATGAAATAATAAACATTTAGTAAATTATAAGGGTGTTAGGTCTATAATTATAATGTCATTTAACTTTCCATCATATGAAATTAGACTTACCAATATGGTAAAATATACATACATACATAGGTTATGAAAATGGAATCAAATTTAAAGAAATACACTTATAATTCAAAAGAAAACTATCGCAGACTATCGATAGTCTATAAGTTTAAGTTTAAGTGGTTTTTAAAAAACTATAGCACATTCTCGATGGAGGCGATTATCGATAGTTTCCGACCTAAGATGAAGTCTCTACGATAAGCAGAACCCGAGATATAAAGATTTTAAGACTAACATGATTAGTCAGAAATCGAAAAAATCCAATCTTTGACAGATCATGTCTCCGAAGAAAAAAATTAAAAAAAAATTTATATCCTCCAATACGTGTTAGCTTATTTCATGTCTAGAACCCATAAAAAATTTTAAGCGAACCGAAAGTGTGACACCAAATTTGGTGTCCGATACGAAAAAGAATGCCTCATATATATATTTACATATGTATTTGATGAAAATAATTGCTTCGCTAAAAAAATTTTGCTCTGCATTCACACTTCTTTACCTACAAAGATATGGGATGCCATAAAAAAAAACTCATCGGATTCCAAATCTTCTACTTGTTTAGCCATAGTTAATTTTTGCAAAAAAATTTACAAAATTTCACGCCGTGAAATGTGTTTGGAATTTTAAAAGGATCGGTACCATATAATTCAGAAACCTCGCTGAGAGAAGATAATATATGTATTTCAAGTCATATGTAGTAATTTCTAGTTATCTATAGTGATGTTAGATTCAAGTTCAATGGAACTTCCTAGATTCCAAAGTGGAGGGTGGCTGCAGAAGACTTATTTGGTAATTGGCATATCGTTTCGTTTGCAGAGAGAATGAATGGGGGATGAAGAAGAAGTGGTGGTGGGTATGCGTATGTTTAAAGAGATCATATTATTATAAAGGCTTGTTTTCAATATTTGAAATTCAATGACATTTGCCGTCAAATAAGTGAAAACACATTGTCAAATGGAATTTCAACAGTATAGGTTTTTAGTTGGGTAAAACGACTATCTGTCCGTTTTTAACCCATAAATAAAGGAGATAAAGTTGTGTCAAAATATGTTCATAAAATTTTGCCATCAAAATATGACATAGTGAAAACCAGCCTTAAAAGTGTTCCTTCGAAAGCAACCAATTTAACAACCTGGGTCGTCGCTTTTAAAACATACGAGTACTTCGCATGAGTTTTCCTATTGTTGAGAAGACTTTTCTTTTAGAATAAGAGAAAACCGGATACAGACTAAAAACCGGACTGTCCGGTCAAAAACCGGACACCTGGCAACCCTGTGTACGCCCGCCAACCTACGAAATAGAGATGCCGTTTTTAAATCGATTAAATCGAAGATCAATTAATCGAACCCTTAGCATTCGATTTTCGTGGATCGATCCAAAAAATCGCAAATCGACATTCAATTTTTTCTCAATTTATGCATATGACATTGCATTAGAAAATCTATAAAATTTTAATCAAATTTGAATTTGAGACCAGTTAGTACAAAAAATGAAGGAGCTTGAGTATTGCATCTAGCTGTAATTTAGAGTATTTGCACTAGTTTATTTAACAAACTTAGCCAAAGCGCAAATTGGATCAAAATAATATTGAAAAAATGAAAGCATTTCAAAATATACAAGGCAGTGTATAAGTTAATAAGCTTTTCTAGAAAAAATTTCAGGTACGCAGTTTTGTAGCCCATTCAATTTTAGTTAAATAAAGTGCAAACTTCAAGTCGCTGCAAATACCGTTGATTCTTGGCATTTTTTTTTTGTTGTCGGTGCTAGGCATTTTATTCATATGAAAATTTTGTCGAGCATACTTTGTATGAAAGAAAATACTCAAATTTTTTCTAAAAAGGGTAATTATGGCCTAATAACAAATTGTCGAATATGAAAACAAAAAAATTTAAAAATCTGTACTGCGAAAAAGTCTGTATACGTAAACTTTATTGGGCTAGCGTATTTACGTATAATACATTTTAAAAAATAGCGGTTAATTTTGAAGTAAAACAAAATTTTTTCTCTTTTGTGATAAAAAAATGGAAAAAATTTTACCATTTTCCTAAGTAGGGCTAAGAATTTATGAAATTTCTTTCAATTCAATTTCAATTTTCGAATTTTATATGGAAATTGACAGAAAGTAATAAATTATTTTCCATTTAAATTACTGGTACAACCGGCTGCTACAATAATGTTTGTAATTTAAGTGTGGGTCAGGAGAACGTATTTTGTTTCATTAAGTAAAAGACGTTTTTTGGCAAATTATATGAATCGTGTGAGTTCGATTTATTTTTTGACGATTTCTTCCTGCATCGATGATTTTTATTTGATTTTTATTACGATCTGGCATCTCTACTAAGAAACCTCTTTTCTGATAGTTCCATCTCACTCACACCTTTCACATTTCAACCGACTTAACGTGGCCTGGATGAGCGTCAGGACACTTTTTGTAAACCTAAGTTTAAATAGGTTTTCCTAGTGATCCCAACGTCAAACGAGAACGCATAAATAAACGAAGTTTTGGACTTCTCGTAGATCGTTGTGACAGTCCTAACAAGAGTTATTTTAGGAAACTCAACCTTGTAGGGCATACTGAAGGATAACATCGGTAGTACACATTGGGTGTATTTATTTGAAAATAGGATCATTAAAGAATCCTTAGTCTTCTCTTTTCATGCATTTTATATCGGATAGCTGCAGAAAATTCGAACAAGACTCATTTTCTAAAGGTATGTCTAGACAAGTTAGCATAGTTCCTTTAATAGCTACATAGGCGGAGCGGAGACGCTTACAAAGAGTAAAGCCGGGACTTGGCTTTTGACCACACCGGCGCCATAAACGTGGTGTAGTATAGTTATTGACTAATAAGCTTAAAAGCTCATATAGTGTAGACTTACATTTCGAAACCTAACCATGTACACTTAATATGTTGCTCAACCTCCTATATGAGAAATTGTGATAGCGGTTGGTGAAAACTTAACTCACCGTATGAAACAATAACCTCTGAATTTTAGATACTGAAGTTACGGCCTTGTGGGAATTTTATTCATCGAACTGTCAAACAGCTGAAACGGATAATAAATAAAACAAAAATTTTCGCATTTGGTTTAAGTTGACTTAGGGCGCTGTTACGCAGGCGATCATATGATCCCTTGTCACGGCACTTTTTATCTCGTTTTTTCCATTCTTACTCTCTTTGGCCAACATGCTGTTGTGCAGAGGGTCAAATAATCAGCGTATTTCTTTGGCCTAGTTGTATTTCATTGGTCTATTTTTTACTACTTTTTACATTTTTGTTATGAAATAACGAAAAAATAAGAAATATGTGTATAAAAACATGTCAAAAGCAAACAAAACAAGGGTTGCTAGCATTGAGTTTATTCTACATATGTACTACTTTGTATACATCTGCAGCAAAAATGTACCATTCTGCTACTAAAAGGATAAATAGCATGAAAAATACTCCATTTCGCTACTGAAAGGAAAAAATAGCAAATTGTATTCACAAGCAAACCCTTTTTTTGATCAGTGATTCGGTCTAAGCCGGCTGGTCGAATTTGAACCGATTGGTCATTGGTTACAAGGATTATTTTTCATAATTTGTGTTGCTGGATTACTTAAGTATTGTCATAACTCAAAAAAGCCAAACTCGAGAAAAATGGCCTTAAAGTTTTTGATTTATATATACTCCCATAATAAAAATTAATACATTTTTTATTCTAGTGAGATACTGGTAGTCGATCCAGCATGAAATTTTTACACAAAATAGAAGAAGGTTATGACACTATTGAATTAAATGAGCGATATGTAGATTTTGGTTTAAATTTTCTTTTTTTTTCCATTTCTTGTGCGTCACTTTATAATTTTTTGTTTTTCTGAGGGCTGAGGGCCCTGGGCATAAATCCTAACTCATGACAACCTCAAAATAGAGATGCCGAGGCTGCCCACGTGTACCTCTTTCACGAAGTGTAAAAATAACCTTCCCATTTTTGTGTGACATGAAACTCACGCATGAAAACTACTTCTGTCAATTACGTTGCTTTTTAGATAAGATTTCTTTTTATTCATATGTTCCCTCATCCAGTTCTGTTTTAGGCATCTCCATCTCAAATTACTATCTTAAATAAGAAATAAGCTTATGCTCATACTTCTGAGCAAACAATAACGCATAAATCTAAGTACTTATATATAATTAAAATTCAAGCATTGGAACAGAGTTAGCTACAAACCTCAATTCCTGTTACCGATCCGGCTGGCGCTAATGTGGATTGCTGTTTCTTGCATCTACGCGTCCCACTCGCACTCACCGTGCTGGCCACACTCAACGATGAGGAAGAATGATGGTGGTGGCCCAGCTGATATTGTTCGTACTCTTCGGGTGTCGTGATTTCTGCAGGCTTCTGATGTAGACCGCAGCGAGAGGCCGTCATGCCAGTACCCGTTTTCATGAGCGGCGCCACACCGATAAGCGTGCCAGTACCGCTGCTGTAAAGTGAGTTGCAGGAGGATAACGAAGTGGGATCGGTCGAGCCGGGACCGCCATGTCCATCATTTTGTGAAGATGAAGCAGACTCATAAGAAGAATTGACTAAAGTAGAGTTGGGCGAACAGGAGCGTTCATATGACGCCGAAGGATAGCCATCGACATTCATATAAACAGGCAACGACGTGCCGCTTACTACAGCGTTACCCTTACTGCTACTGGACTGGCGCATGGAGTTTTTGTAATTAACGCTATTGACGAGATTTGCACCGCCACTAGCGGCGCTATGCTTCGAAAGCTTCGATCCTTTCGGCGTTTTAGGCGGCGGCGTGTCGCCCAGCACCGTTGCACCACGCGTGCTGCCCGGCGGAGGTGGCACAGGTGTGACGCACTCATAAGAGCTGTTCGATATACCGGAATCGCTGCGGTAGATGCTTAGCCGTTCTGGCTCAATCAAATTGAAATCATCCTTCTGCTGGTGTTGGCGATGGTGATGTTTTTTCTTGTGGCCCGATTGTCCAGCTTGTGCGCTGGTGCCGCTCGTGCCGCTGCCACTAGCCGTGGGCTGCGGGTGCAGCAATATGGTGGCGGTGCCACTCATACCACCAGCAGCTGGCGATGGATGCGCCTCTACGGCACACTCATGCACCTGCACCGCGGCCGCGTTATCAGCCGCCAAATTCTCATAGGCAGGCGGATCATAGAAGCGCATCAATGCCGATGATTTTATCTGATGTGAGGTTTGTTGGGCGCCCGGGCCGACGGAGTCAATATCGCCAATGCTACCACCAGCAAAAGAATGATGTCGCTTGCACTTGTTGCTATTGTTGCCGGGGAATATCATAGACGCATTCAACACGCCACTCGCGGGCGACTTATGCGGCGGGTGAGATGCTTTGTTCTTACCGCCACCGCCGGTGAATTTCAGTGAGTAGAATTTCTTATCCTCCATTTTGCCATCAATCATTGGTTTGCGCTTACCGTTGCGTTGCATTGAACCAGTGCCGCTTATGTCCAATATGTGCGGTTGATAAGCATTATCGGCAGGGCTGTTGCCAGTGTCATATTTTTTGAAATTGGTTATGGCCAGAAAGGGATTCGTACTGACTGCAGTGGGCGGTGGGCATGTGCGCACGCCGGCAACATCAGAACCACCTATATCAAGACCTGCTGCACTCGCGCTGCTACGCTCCACCACTGCATATGTTGGGTAATCGTGTTCGATGGCATTCAACAGCTGCGCGCTGGAAGTGTTATTCGAGACGCTACTTTGCTGCTTTTGCTGCTGTTGCTGGTGATAATATTCTGTGTAACTCTTCGGAAAGCAATTATTCAGATTGTATGAAGTTTGATGGGGTGCAGTGCCACCGATGCCGCCGTTCATGTAACCGCTGCCACCAGAAGCTGCGTGGCCTGCGCCACCGTTGTCGCCGCCGCCGATAGTCTCGCTGCCATCCGCCATTGAAGTCAACATATGCTGTTGGTGATGCTGCAGCAGCATGCCTTTGTTGTGGGAATTCATTGTGTGTGCTTGCTGGTGCTGTTGGTTCGTTGCCATCAAGCGTCCCCCGCCCCCAACATATTGCATGGTATTGTACTGATGTTGTTGCTGTTGGTGTTGATGATATTGAAATTGCTGGTCGCACTGGTCCTGTTCGTATTGTTGCTGCTGGTGTTGTTGCTGGCCAATATTTCCATTGAGTCTCTTGGGTCGTGGAGCGACGCGCACCACATTGGTGTTGTTATTAAAATTTGTAAGAGTCGTAGAGAACTGCGAGCGTGCGGTCAAATGAACGCAGGATCGTAAACATGAAGGGCGGTTAAGGTGTGTGTGGTTTAGTCGGATAATTTTAGTTGTTGTTTGTTTTTTTCGTTATGCATTTCATTCACGAAAGCGAGGCGTGTTTGCATGCGGGAGAGCGAAAAAATGACAAAATTGCTTTGGATTAGTTTTTGTTATGCAATGAATTTTTGAATTTTTTTTGTTAAACATGTTTTCTATTTTGTTAGCATATAAATTCAGAATTAGTAAGGTAGCATACATATATATACATACATATTTTTTGAAAAATACTGCAGCTCTTGACATATTTTCAAAACAACATGTGTAAATGTGTTAGTAAAATATTAGTAACACAAAATATAAACATCTAAATACATATAAAGAAGGTGAATAGCTAAAAAACTTAAACTCAAAAATAGTAAATAATAGATTTGCAGATAAATGTGTAGATAAATAAAATACCATCATATGAGGCATGGAACGACGCAGCTTTTGATTTTAGTCTACATTTTATATTACATTGTGTGGGATATAGTCCCAAGTACAGTGTTCTACGAAAGTAGTCGGGCAGTAATTTTAAGCTTTAAAATTGACTATGAACATAAATCCTTTTACATTCACACTTAAACGTTTTAATGCAAGCAGTAAACACATCTATTTATACGTAAAATAGTTCTAGTAAACAAGTTTTTAAAATATGTGGGTATTGGTACTCGGAAATTATAAATTTGTTTATTATTTAGAAACTCTTCCAGATATACCTTTTGGGGTTATCTTTTGTGCTTGACTGAAAATTTTCTTACATTTTCAACATTTTCAAACTCGTGAACTTAGGTTTCGTAACGGGAGTAAAAACTATAAATATAAATTGATAAAAAAAAAACCTGAGGATTGAATCTCTTTTGAGGTGGGTTTATGCATTAATACATAACGAATCAGTAGCCTTTGAGTCTAGTTGCTGGGCAGGCAGGCGGCATTGGTGAAATATACTGGTATTGATCACTTACATGTTTTTAAAATAGGCAAAAGCTATGAAACTATACATATACATATGGTAAGAAATGCCAGCTCATTTTCCTATTTTACTTGATATAGGTTGGGAGAAGAATGGCGTTAGCGCAATTATTAGCGTCGTACTTTTGTTTGTGGTGATCACAAGTGAACTTCCTATTACCGGTAATATTTCCTTTATCTCATTCAGTTTTATCGGGATGACCTTGTGATTGAGCGAGAGAAAAGTTCTTCAGGGAGGTCTGTGGAAAGACACAAAGAATTGATGTCAAATCCGACAAGAAAAGGCGAAAGGTAAATAATCGCTCTCAACGTTGCGGTGGTTATAGGTGTAAGGCTATTTATTCCGCGAAAGTTAAATATCGGGGGTTAATTCTATATAGAAAACTAACGTCGAAAACCCAAGTTGTGCTAACCAAATATTGAAAGTTTTCAGGTAATCTCGGAGAGCTCTTAACAAAGGCTTCGGTCCCAACGGTTTTCTTAGAATAACATCCGAATTTTTTTCCAAAACGGTAACGTATTAAAAAACGGGTTCTGTGGAGGAAAATTTATGGTAAAAATATTATTTTTTTTTTTAATTACGAGTATATCTATTTAATTTACTAAAAGTTTGTTTGAGAATGTTTTAGTCTGTTAAAAAGATGCAAGATACACATAAGTATATAAATACATAAATGCATTTTATATTGATAATTTGAGGCCAGCAATAGGCACGCGTTTAAATAAGATACACGTAAAGTTTCAAAAAAGTCTGCGCCAGGCAAAGCGTTGCCCATCATCGTTTTAGGCTACGTTTATACAGGAGGCGAAGCCAAGCCGAGCGAAGCGAAGCTTTCAATTTACTGAAGCTGTATGAAAGTGTTCATACAGCAAGCCTTTTCAAAAGCGCTTTTGAGCTGAAAGCAAAGCAGTTTTTGATTTTGAATTTCTATTGGACTTCTAAGTTTCATCAAACTGCTGTGAACAAAAAATAAAAATAATTTAAAACAGTCTATTTTTTGATAAATCTGTTGAAGCAAATCGCACAAGTATTTTAGCTGCTTTTCATACAGGATACACTTGTTGATATTTTTACTGCCGATTCCGTGCGTAAAGCTCCACTCCGCCTCATGCTGTGTAAACACCTGAAGCTTCGCATCGATCCACGTTGCTATGCTCGGCGCTGCTCTTCTGTGTGACCGTACCCTTTGACATTGTTTATAAGAATTAGAACCGCTCGAGTCTTTACAAATTGGAAATTTTTGTTTGTTATTTTTGCTCGGTAAAAAGTGACGATTTTAATAAATGCCCGTCTCTACATCTTGTATTCTGCTTTATTATAGTGGCGTAAAGCCATAGGAAAATCCGCGACATCTACATGTTTACGTTATACGGAGAACAGTGTATCTAATGGCAATATAAAACCCAGATCTTAACAGTGTTGCCATTTTGGTGCTTTTGGAGCTAGATTTAGCTCTTCATTTATCTATTTGGCTCCGAAAATTGGGTTTTAACTCCTAGCTCTTTTTTAGCTCTTCAAATTTATCTAGCACTTTTTTAGCTACAGAAGGTTTTCGTTGTATATGGTATATATAAGCCAAAACTTGAGCGTTGATAAAATGGAAAATTTCGAGATGAAGTGTGTCCACCATAAACTCATGGATCTAGGTTAAAGAATTCAAAAATTAATTAAAAGAAAATCCTTTTTCTGATAGCGCTGATTTTGTTTTATCTTACTAATGTTACCTTTGAGGAGAGTGGAAGTAAAACTTTCCAGAAAAATTTTGCGAAAAAATTATTCAATTCAAATATCTGAAATTACATACTTTAACAGTTTGTAAGCTATTTTTAGTTCACTGTTAAAAGTGCCATAGCAACGAATTCGAAATATATGCACCTTATTTTGGTTTTAAAAGATTTTTTCAGCACTTAAACTTATAAAATTCGTTTTTATTAAAATTGCCGAAAATGTAAAAACAACCTTACGTCAATAAATGCTCAACCTTAACAAAAATATTTAGCTCTTCATGTTAGCTACTATTAGTATTATTTAGCTCTTTTTAGCTCTTTTTTCGACCGTTTTAGCTCCAAGCGAAATTTTTCTCTGGCAACACTGGATCTTAATGCTCTCTTGGCCTTCTATCCCCATCCTTGGCAATCCAAGAGGAGCCAATGAAGATCGCATGTCAACTTCATTAATTTACAGAATAGATAATTGTTAAGAACGATGTCAAGGAATACCTAAAATAATAAACTGATATCTGTAGCCTCCTTTGGAAGAAAGTAACACATTTAAGGCGTATTCATCGTTCGAGTTCATAACTTTTCGCCCATGTGGTTGTTGTTTGTTTCTCTGGGAGAACAACTGAGGAAAGCTCTGAAGGCTTTTGAGTTGTTGAGTTAACTTCAACTTTATATGTTTATATGCTGTAGCTAAGTGTGCAGAAGTGCACGCAGTTGTTCGTTAACTTGCAGAAAGTCCAAGGTACGCACACCGTCAGACGCAAATGTTAAAATGATACCAAAAATTTCTGTTGTAAATATAAATTTTGAGTAAATAAGCTTCAGTAGTTACTAAAATAACGCAGTTTTCGTATTTCTGAAAACTACCGTTATATGGGAGGTAGGCGTGGTTAATGTCCGATTTTGCCCGTTGTCAATACCATCCGTGCTACGCTGAAAAGAAGTGCACATACCAAGTTTCGTTAAGATATCTCGATTTTTACTCGAGTTATCGTGTGCACAGATGGACGGACGGACGAACAGACAGTCACCGCTTAATCGATTTCTCTTTTCATTCTGATTATTTATGTATACATTTGTCTATATCCATCTCGATTAGTTTTGCCTATTACAAACAAGCGTTATGTGAACAAAGTTATAATACCCTTGTGCACAAGTGCGCTCGGGTATAAAAATGTTACCAGTCCTTGTCACCGCGATTCTAAGTACGTTGGTAATGCAGTCAAAATATTAACATATTATTATTATGTAAATAAATTGAGGTATTTCTGGCATTGCATATTTCACGGGGAAATACGTTGTTACCAAGCTTATGAGATGGTATAAACATTTACCGGTTACAAGAGTAGACTGAATGCGAAAAGGGTTTAAAAATTTACAGAAGCTTTATTTACAAGTAAACCTTATTTGAAATAATTGTGGTATCTTTAAAAAAAATATATATATATATATGTATATATTAGGGCGGGTCGATTTGTAGGGGCTCAAAAAATTAACAGAGGCACATAGCGATTATGATTATTTGGGTAATTTCAAGCATTTTTTCCCAAGAAACCATAGGTCTAAAACGAATTTCGAATTGTCGAGGAATCCATTTATGGCATTAATATTTTCTTTTGAGGGCCGGCAGTGGGCCGAACATTTTAGGCTATTTAAAAATTGAATTTGCATTACGAGAAAGTCAAATTTCGTGGATTTTCGCAACATTGTTGTCGATTTTCGGAAAAAAGGCGTTTAAATCCAAAAAAAAAAGTTCGGAAGCGCCCTCTGGCGGCTCTCAAAAGAAAAAATTAATGCCAGAAATGGATTCCTCAGCCCCAAAAACCCCCAGATACACATTTTGGCTAGTTTTCAATACAACTGTTTCAACAGGTGAGCCACTTTTTGAAAAAAAAAAAACTAGATAGAAAAAATCGCTGGCTCGAAAAAAAATGCTTGAAATTACCCAAATTACCATAATCGCGATGTGCTTTTGATGCAAAAAATTTTACCCCCTCCTTATATATAAACATCACTAAGATCATTTAAAAGTAACTTAAAAATATAAAATAATTTTGTTGGCAATTTTTAATATTTGCAGCAATGCGTTTTATTCAAAAAAGAAAAACCTCACTAATGTCGTAATTATTTATAGTAATAAACCTGTGAAAAAAATTTTTTCGGTCATTCGAAAAAATACACAATAAAAATGGCAAAAATAACGAATAGACATTTTTTTTTAGTAAAACCAAATTCTTGATTTCTTTTCTATTTGAACGTGGTAAGTGTAGAATGATGCGAAATATGTTAAAAATATGAATTTAATAGTAAATAGTAATGAATTCTAAACAATGTACAAATACCAAATGTAAACAGATGCATTACAACACACACAGTTTTCTACAGAAAAGCTCAATTTAGATAAACAAATAGTAACGTTTATTTAATTTATTTTCAACAGCTCCATAATCAAATATGTATTTCTGTATTTGTGGAAAAAATATATAAAGTTTTTGTTTAATTTACATATTACCTACATACAAAAAAAGCAACAAATTACATCGATAAAACGTATGAAATTTTAACTTCCATATTTGCAATCAAACAATAATGATTTTTACTGTAGACAAATTTTCTAAAGTGGCGATAATACGAGTAACCTGACTATGTATGTACGTAGGTGGAAAATCGTAAAATACTGTAATCTGTGGATACAAATGAGTAATGCAAACTACGGTGAATTTTGTGTGTAACGCATGTGAAGGTGTATGTGTGTTTACATTATGTAGATGTGCTAACTTGTGCCTAGAGAGTGTGTGATGTGATGCCATGTGATGACCAATGTTGACTAATTGTTAGTTGGTTGTATAAAAGGAAATTTACAATATTTTTATAAGTACCTTGTTAGGAGCCGTTTGGAGACCATGAAATGGTAGATTCTCATACTCGCCAGGTTCCGTCAATGGATCCCCCAGTGAAGATGACTTGTCTTGTACTATATTTCAAAGTTGAGTTAATATTTCAATACGAATTTGATCAAAAGAGCGATGAATTTACGAATTTTCAGGGTTATATTTTCACGTCGGATTCAATTTAAGAATTTTTTGTTCGAATTGTTGCGTTTTGTTTTGTTTGTTGGAAGTAGCAGCAATTTTAGAATGCATACAATTAAAGATGATTGCAGAAAGTTAACAGAAAATATTAAATAAGAATAAAAAATTATGAGAATTTTAAAATAAATAAGAAAATATCGACTTAGAGGGTAAAAATCTATTTACGTATAAATATTTTTGATTTGAAATAAGGAGAAAATAAATATGTATATATGTATGTAACTACACTGTCAATCAAAAGTAAGTGCATGGGGTTTTTTGTTTAATATTTGCAATGTCTTTCAAGTTATTTTTTTTTTTGTTATTTTTTTTTTAAATATGCTTTAAGCAAAACCAGACAAGTGAAACTTTCAAACTTTATACAGAACTAAATTTTGACCTTTTTAATCTGAATTTTTAGAAAAATTTTGAGTACGCAAATAGATCGTTTTTTTAATTCTAGAGAAATTTTTACTTGAAAACCATTGCAAATATTAAACAAAAAACACCATGCGCTCACTTTTGATTGCCAGTGTAAGTTTGATTTTTGTTATTATTAAAACTAAAAATTTAAATAAAATATCTTCCCAAAGATGTATAAAACTTATAAAAGTGTGGAATTGTAAGAAAAAAATTGTATTTCAATTAACAAAATACTTAAAGGGCTTTTAATAAAAATATGTTTTTTAAAAAATAATGACGACACTTAGAGGCGGGAAACAAAAATATAATTTCATGCATAACATTTAAAACTAACGGAAACTGCAGGCAAATAATCACGTTGTTGTTGGTTAATAAAGGACAAAAACATCAAATAGCGAAAATATCAAAAAAATTAAGCTTAAAATTAAAGATCCAATAAAAAATTACAACATCTAGAGCAATAACAATAAAAAGTTAAAAGCTTTAAAAAATATAGCACTCTTTAAAAAGTGAAAAACAATTTGTTTGCTTACTTGCGTTGTTGTTAAATAAGGACTTCACACGATGAAGCATTTAAAATTACTTATTTATTTATACACACGATTGAAATAAGAAAATTTTAAGTCAGTTTGAAATTTATTAGTTTTAAAATAAATAAAGTTTGCTAAAAAAAAGGCCACATACTTGGAATTAACAAAATACATATATTATAATGTTTGTGATAAATAACATGAGTATTTATGAAATTAAAAAATGTAATTTTGAGACGCTTTAGAGGACTTTCATCTAATTTTTAATATCTATAGCTCCTAAATTGAAAAGCTCACACAAAAAATTAAAAACGGAAACTCTAAATAATAATCCCAAATTTGGGGAAATCCTAAATACCAGCAAAAGAATCACAACGAAATATGTTCAGGCTCACGCATAATACAGTAGTTCTGCTTAAATTCTTCCTTTCTTCATATCTAATAAGATACAGTTTCACGAAAGAAATTTATGTAAATATGTATGTAGGTGAAAAAAAATTGTTTTCCATTTGAACTTAATATGAAAACTGACAGAATTGAACTAATAATTTTCACTGAAATTGCCGTTGAAACTCTTGATTCAATAAAAAAAGGTTTGCTCAGAAAGCAGTTTTCTCGCTCCCTCTTTACAAAATCGGCTCCCTTGTCAAGGCACTGTGTATGGGTTCGTGTGTGTGTGCAAAACTTTTGTAAGGGTTGACACTCCCTCTGATGCAGCGATGGGAAGAGAGAGCTTTTACTCTGTGTACGCCTATACAAAATATATGGAAAGCTTAAAAGAGTTTGCTGCTCTAATATCACAAGTGAGCAAAGCTTTAATTACACTGGGTTACAGAAAAAATGTTCTGTGGATGCCACTATCCAAATCCTATGTAGAATTGCTCGGTGATTCCGAAAATCGAGTTATCTTTTTTTCTATGGATACTTTTCGAGATATTGGCTATTTACCGTTATTCAGCTTAAAGCAAAAATTGGTTCCTTTTAATCACGTATATCTTACGAACCAGTTTAAAAATCTTCATATAAAATACGGCAAATGAAAGCCAATGAAATTCTCGATTAAACGTATATACATCACATTCCGATAGGGCTTATGGTTTCAGACAAATTAATTAATCATTTCAGATTTTTTAATGAAGAAATGAAAAAAAATCAAACTTTAACAGAAGAAAAATTTAAAAAATAACAGGTTCTGTACCAAATTTTTGCATTTGTACTAACGCGTATCATAAAGTTATCGGACTAGAGAAGAGCACAAAGCGGGCTATGGTTCCTAGTTGCACTCTGATGACGAAACTTATAACAATTACGTACTTAGCTACTGCGCCTAAAATTATGCTAAAAAATAACTTATGTTTTGGGGCACTAAGGCACTACATAGTTATGCCGACCTATTCCCACCTCANATTGCACTCTGATGACGAAACTTATAACAATTACGTACTTAGCTACTGCGCCTAAAATTATGCTAAAAAATAACTTATTTTTTGGGGCACTAAGGCACTACATAGTTATGCCGACCTATTCCCACCTCANTTGTACTAACGCGTATCATAAAGTTATCGGACTAGAGAAGAGCACAAAGCGGGCTATGGTTCCTAGTTGCACTCTGATGACGAAACTTATAACAATTACGTACTTAGCTACTGCGCCTAAAATTATGCTAAAAAATAACTTATTTTTTGGGGCACTAAGGCACTACATAGTTATGCCGACCTATTCCCACCTCAATGACAAAACTCATCGGCATATCAATTAATTTCACTACTGACCCGAAAACTTTTACGCCGAATAGACGCACTGTTTCGTCATTGACACATACTCAACAGGTCATAATAATAACATAAAAAATATCGATATGACGATGGATTCTTTCATTGCCATGGGAATAGGGCGGTAACTCCCGTACATTAATTACCAGCTGACCCCAGTGTAGCATCAGCATGGCTTCCGCAAAGTGCACAGCACCACCAGAGCACTTAACGCAATAAATATGCTGATGACTCGTGTCTTTAATTGTAACCGCCTCTGACAGATAACGCTGGTTTTACATTTTAATAGCGACATCCAAATAATATTTATTTCTGTCAAAACAGCTGATTAAGAACTTCGAATTTCCTATTTAGGTTGGCAACGCAGTGGATAGTAATGAACGGATTACATGATACCATNTAGAGTGCTTAAAGCCATGATTTTGGCTCACACTTTTAAGCACGGTAATTAAATCAATTGATATGACGATGGATTCTTTCATTGCCATGGGAATAGGGCGGTAACTCCCGTACATTAATTACCAGCTGACCCCAGTGTAGCATCAGCATGGCTTCCGCAAAGTGCACAGCACCACCAGAGCACTTAACGCAATAAATATGCTGATGACTCGTGTCTTTAATTGTAACCGCCTCTGACAGATAACGCTGGTTTTACATTTTAATAGCGACATCCAAATAATATTTATTTCTGTCAAAACAGCTGATTAAGAACTTCGAATTTCCTATTTAGGTTGGCAACGCAGTGGATAGTAATGAACGGATTACATGATACCATTTTTACACTTTGCGTAGCGAAGCTAGTAGGTATTCGTAACTACGAAAACTCGGATTCCATTATGGTGATATAAGGCTGAAAACACACCAGATTAGACAAGATGTTTTCGGATGATAAGAAACCCAAACTTTTTACTCCAAAGCATACCAAGCAAATCGCATTATAGCAAAGCAAGGTAATTCGTTGGCCCATCTCGGTGTGCGTTGAAATGCATTTCTGCAGCCCAGAGTTTTTCTGTTGGTGGCTTTGTTTCTAAAGTTATATATTGAGCTTCTCGCCTTAATTAAATATAATGTTTTTCTGCCCTAGTATCTATAAAGCAGAGGATTTCATATTAAAAAAATCGTCAGTTAAAAGTAATCCTTGTTTTCTTTGTTCTTCATTCTATGTACCTTGCGCTCGGTACATGCTGGATCGGAAACGAGGAAGCGGTCGAACTAGCAAGGAGCGGCTCCGCATTGAATGTGTCCCATAGTCCCAGTTCTGGGTGTCCTACGACCCACCTTAAAGCAAAGCTTTTTTAAGAATGAGCAAAAACGATGCCTAAAAATTTATTGCAGTGTGCAAAGAACACTGGCCCATTGGGGTGCATTCCGAAAGGATAGCACTACCCTTCAAAAGGTTCTGTCACAATTGCGATGACCCGGGCTCAACAGTAGACAGTTGAGCACTTCCTGTGCAAGTTTCCAGCCCCCGCAAGGATGAGGCTAAAGACGGTAAACCATTCCTGCAGAATATTTCTGAGTGCAGCTGTCTCTCTCTGTATGACGTATTGAAATTGATTAAAGCCGCCAAATGGCTGTAGGTTGCACGAGTTGTGGAATCAAAATGGCAAACTTGCTAATTGCTTGTCACCTGAGTGACAATCCACATAAACCAACCAACCAACATGTTGGCTGTATTCAAATACATTTATAGCTGGACAACCACTCCTCAAACAAAAACGAAATAAAGCGGTTTGTCTCGTTTAATGGACGATGGTTTAATCAGACAAAGGAATGGACACGTTTGTTTTAAATCATACATATAGGTAGGTAACATGAATTGACCTCAAGAGACTACTCGAACAATTTGAGAGTGGCCTAGTATGGGGAACTGCTGCGGGTGGGCAATATCTAGGAAAGAGTAGCAAAAGTCAGTAACGCCCTATATATAGCCAAGAGGATGTTGGGAGTTATTTGAGGTTTTTCGCCTGCCCGGATGCCTCAGGCTTTTCTCTTTATCTTGGTGTGGCGGAATGCAACAAAAAAGTCTTTATACCCCAGTCAAACGGAAGAAGTTTAGCGTTTCGCGATCTACTTGCGCGGAGAGTAGATGTCAACCCGAGAATCCAAGGGGAATCCAACTTTGTGCTTGAAACCTAGTCGCAGATCTTTCAGTATATTCGCAGGCTCGTCTGAAATATCAAATGGAGTGGGTGCTAAAATTTACTGCGAGGAAATTAATTTCAGACTTGATTAATGCCTTATCATTCAGGGTGATGCTTTTCTATGACAAAAGCTTTCACTAATACAAGAAATAACTCAAAAGTAAACTTATACGTCGAAAACTAAGCAGCGATTAAGGTAATTACTTCATATAGCATATCCTCCAAAAACGTCCTTCGCTGGGAAGCTTTTGTAAGCAAGTAGAAGGCTGTACATCTATTGGGTGACTGGTCACAAGAGAATAGGTAGGTAGTACTTAAATTAGCTGATGGGATCCCCGCGGGCGCTATTTGAACAGATAAAGGACGCCTAGAGATGGATGGAATGAGATAGACACATGCTAAATTGTAAAAATCTACGTTCTTGTTAAATGTAACAGGCCACTTAAGGTTATTTTTATGCAAAATTTCCATAGAACTATGGCGTTTTCCCACCGCGAAGTAAAAGCTAATACTCGTAATCTGAGCTGGATAGGTTTTTATAGCGTGCTTAGCCGAAAAGCAAGTCCCACTCTTTTACGTAATTTATACAAAATTGAGCTTAAAATTTTGTACCAGGATGTGTCAGACCGGTGTTCATAAACTTTGTTTGCCTTTTCTAGAATCGGCGTTTTACACCCGCGTGGTATGCTGCGGAAAAAGTTGAGCCCGTGCCGCCTCTAGTCAGGGGAGTTTAGCTTAGGTATGAGTTAGCAGAACATTGATTTGAATAGGTTTCTACTCCTCCTTTTAGAGATCCTAAAATATCTTAATCTGCGCGTAAATTTTAAATTAACACCTATTTGTAGTTTTATTTTACTGACTTTAGAAAAAATTCCTTAAAATTATCTTGATTTACATGAAACTTTACTCTTTGGTTAAAAATTTTCTGATTTACCTTTTCTAACATTTTAACTAATCATAATAGTAGAGAAAATCGAATATAAATATATTCAAAAATTAATAATAATAATTAATAATTTTTGACAATGAGCACGAGAGTATGAGTGTGAAATGAGTTGAAGTGTAAATGGTAATTAGTTTTTTCTTACTTTGGACCCGCTCGATTTTTGTCGGCGATATTGTGGCCACAACGCGCTTCTGCAGTGGAGGGGGTGCCGCCTTGAAAGGCGGCGGTGGACGTGGCGGCGGCGTACGACTCTTCAATATGCCACGGTGTAGCTGTTGCTGTCGTCCATGTGTCGGTGTTGTAGTGTTGCTGTTGTTGTTGCTGTTTACGTTGGCGGTCCCATTCCCGCCGTTGATGGCCGTCCCCATGCTGTGGGTGTTCGCTGGAGTCTTGTCGTATGAAGGCACTTGAAATGTCACAGAGGCATGTAATCGGGGACTGTTGACTGGTAGGCGCGTAGGCGGCTGCGTAGCTGGAGGCGATTGTGATAGCTGTGCTCTCGCTGCGGCTGTGGCTGTTGGTGTGACTGTAGTAGTAATATTAGAAGCAGAGTGTTCGAAGTTTTCATTTAGCTCAGCGGCACTAGCGTTTGTAGTCGCTATTACGCTAATGCTGGTACTGTTGTTGCTACTGATGTCACAATTACTGCTACTGCTACAACCGGAGACAGCGTTGCCGCCTTGCGACGTGCGTACTGGCGACTTTTTGTACGTGACTACAAGTGTTGGGTGCGTTTGTGTTTTGCGGTTGTTGTTGATGGGTGATGAATGTGCATTTTCAAGCCATTACGAAAATGAAAAATAAAAAAAAAACAAATGCAAAGCAAAAAACGTTTGAAATAAAAACAAATTTGACGCAAAACAAAAGTGAAATTGAATTAATTACCACTGCCACTGCAACGTATGCCCTTTAGGCGATGCTCTGCGCCAAATGGCGACTTTTCCGTCGTTTCTGTGCGCTGCCGTAGCACACTGGCACCCGCTTGCCACATGCCGCCAAGTAACCCGATGTGGCTGCGCTGGCTGTCGCGCGTGGTGTCAACGCCAGCACCGCGGCGCTTGAAAATGTTCGAAAAGAACTTTTCCACGCGTCCCATGCGGCGTGCACTAACACATTTGTCTGCGTTGCTACAAACTTCCGCCGCACCGCTTGTCGATTCAGCGCTGGCAACAGTGATCTCTTCCATGCCACCCTCTGTAGCTACTATCGGCGTTTCAGTTGTCAACGGCGTTGACACTGACGTCCCTGTCATACGAACTCCGGCCCCTGACGTACACTCAAGTGGCTCGTCTGTGACAGCTGTCAGCATTGTCAATAGCTGTTCCTCTGTGTTGGCATTTTCGACTGTCAAAATCTGATTATTCGGCTTAACATTGAAAGTGGTGTGCGGTCTTAACTGTGATGATTTGCCAAATTTATGTGGTAGTGTTTGGCATGCAGTGCGGTGGGAGCAAGCACCAGGGCTGGCGTATTCGCTGCCCACTCCGGCGGCACGCTTTTGGCGACAGTCAAAACGGCCGAGCGTTGACGTTTGCTTGGGAATATCAACACTTCCGCATCCACGATCGCCATCGCCACTCTCTCCTCCTAGACCCGTATCACTGCAATCGACTGTCTGTGTAGATGCATTTAGAAGTGTTGTTTGTGCGGTGGCTGCTGAGAAGCCAGATGCATTCAGTGTGGCACTTGATGCAGTGCTGCTGTCAGCCGCTGCCATTGTTGTCAAATTCGACAGTTGTGCCGTCAATGTGTGCGGTCGCAGTGTCATGCGATTAGTTGCCAGATTCTCTTTTGTATCGCTGCTGACATGCACCATGACGCCGGGGCGCAACGGCCAGCGCGGCGGTGATTTAGGTGCTTGCGCGGCGTGCCTTACACGTAAGCTGGGTGTTCGAGTGGGTGTAGTAACAATGGTGGGGGTGTGTGCGGGGGTGGTAGCGGGTGAGGGTTTGGGTGTGATCTTGGACGGTGGCTTCGGGGGCGGTGACTTGGGCGGCAGTTTTGGACCAGGAAGTTGTGGCAATTCTTGTGCGGCTAAATTAGGCAATAGACAACCCGTAGTCGGTGGTTGCGGGGAAATCGTTTGGAGCGCTGGTGTAGCCACATCACCTTGTGGCGCATTCGACTGATAAGAGAGTACACTGTGTTTATATTTATATTTAGACGTGTAATTGTCATAAAATTTCGTGTGTTGATGCAGTTGTATGGAGCGATGAATTTTATTTTTTTGATAAGAATTTATGAAAAGCGTATCAAATGAAAAATTTTGCAATAATAACATTTATTTTTAAAAGCAACATTAATAGTGTTTTCAAACATGATACAGTTTTCGAGGCGTAAATAACGGTGCACGTATCAAAATATGCAACGAAAAAGAAAAATAAACAAACGAAATTAATAATACAAACAACCTTAAATAAAAATGTTAATAAATATGTATAATAAGGTATTTTTAACGTGTTTTTTGCGTAATTAAAAAAAGAACAGTTTATATTAAACAAAAGAGTGTGTTTGGCAAACCGCAAACGTCATGGGGATAACTAAAATCTGCTGCTTCTGAACCTTAAGATTGAACCTTGGCTTTTTTAAATTAAATAATACAAGTTTTGCATACTAATTTCAAAGTCGAAACACTACTGTTAACTGGGTGTTTAAAATCTTAAAATTTTCGAGGAAACAATAAAATATTCTTGATCATACACTTGTGAAGAATGTTTCATTTGTAAATCTCAGAAAAAAGCGGTTTCTCAATATATAACCATCCCTTTCCGAGCCATTGATGGCATGGGCACCTAGAGTGCCCAAACAGATACCTACACACAAATCCAAAATTGAAAAGTCACCTTAGGTATCTTTCTTGACATACAGGGTACCTTTAACCGTATTCTTCCATATGCCGTCGTGGGGTCACTTTTTCAAGTGAGGCTGGAACGGCCTCTGGTGGAACTTATAAGGCTGCTTCTTGGGAGAACATCTACCTCCTCTGACTTGGGGCATCTCCATAACCAAGTAAGAAACAAGAGGTACTGTAAGTTAAATTCTGCCGAGACTTCAGGGTACCATCTGTCACGTCATAGGTTATGCTGATGAAATTGTACTTACAGTAACGCGCAAGCATCTCCAAACTCTAAGCGAAATTTTGCAGAGCGCTCTCTGTCTCATGAATAGCCGGTCGAGAGTGGCTCAAGAACAATTACACCAAGACCGAAATGGAGCTAGTCATGAGGAAATATCTTTCATAACTCTCTTTAAATGGTGTTGGGCTTACTCTTTTCTACAAGGTTAAATAAGTTGGACTGAAAACGGATCCTTACGGAGCGATCCAGGAAAGTCATAAGTGGTAGATATCAAGCCAGTTGCAACGCAGCCAGGTTTAGTGTGGATCACACATGAAGAAATTTCAGATTCGTTCACTCAAAAATTCTGGGAAACATTCCAAAACCGTACGCAAAAGCTGGATTACAACAACCTAATTTTTTGTTTCGACAATAGGTTTTCTATCAGAATTCCAGACAGAAGCGACTAGGCGAACCGCTCGGACTTAGATCCGGTGTCTACTGCCATCTCAAGTATGGGTCAAAGCTCGACAATAAGGTTGATAGCGCAATTTACTCTAAATACTTCTCACTAAACCAAAGCTTGCAGCCTCCTGACCACTGTAGCGTTTTTCAGGCCAAATTAATAGCTATATAGGAGGCGCTCTTATTGCATAATAGCGCCGCAGTTTCCCTACGGTCCGTTACGATTTATTCTGCCAGCCAATCAGCGATTAAATCTCTACAGTGCAGAAACACTTCTTCGAAAGTGACGGTCGAATGTAGAAGGATTTTAACAAGCTAGCCGCGAAAGTGTGAATTAAAGTGGTATAGATACCCGGGCACAGTGAAATACCTAGAAACTGCGCTGCAGACGAGCTTGCAAAGGGGGAGGAACTTATGCTCAGTTATCAGCCGCCCATGATACAGGCGTACCCATATCTTGGTGTAAACACAGGTTGAAATCCGTTTTAATTAAATTTACGTATTTATTTATTTACTAAGCCAATGAATATAAAAAAATTCTNGTCTTATTGCATAATAGCGCCGCAGTTTCCCTACGGTCCGTTACGATTTATTCTGGCAGCCAATCAGCGATTAAATCTCTACAGTGCAGAAACACTTCTTCGAAAGTGACTGTCGAATGTAGAAGGATTTTAACAAGCTAGCCGCGAAAGTGTGAATTAAAGTGGTATAGATACCCGGGCACAGTGAAATACCTAGAAACTGCGCTGCAGACGAGCTTGCAAAGGGGGAGGGACTTATGCTCAGTTATCAGCCGCCCATGATACAGGCGTACCCATATCTTGGTGTAAACACAGGTTGAAATCCGTTTTAATTAAATTTACGTATTTATTTATTTACTAAGCCAATGAATATAAAAAAATTCTTATAGGCTAAGTAGACACATGTCTATACTACATGTAGGCTAAATAGACTATTTATAAAAAGTATTCAATTCAGTATCTCAATAAATTTAGAGATTCTATTGAACTCAATTAGAGCTCGAGTAANGACTTATGCTCAGTTATCAGCCGCCCATGATACAGGCGTACCCATATCTTGGTGTAAACACAGGTTGAAATCCGTTTTCATTAAATTTACGTATTTATTTATTTATTAAGCCAATGAATATAAAAAAATTCTTATAGGCTAAGTAGACACATGTCTATACTACATGTAGGCTAAATAGACTATTTATAAAAAGTATTCAAAGATTTCAAAAAGCGATCTTTTGAAAATGAAAAATCTATCTCAATAAATTTAGAGATTCTATTGAACTCAATTAGAGCTCGAGTAATAGGAGCATTTCGAGCATAAAGAGTTTTAAAAAGACCAACATAGAAAAAATCCGAACTACGAAGGGCTCTAGCCGGAATACTAAAGAAAATCCTCCCAAGGAGCACGGAACAGTCAACATCACCGCGTATTAAATCGAAAACGAAAGACAAATATAGGGTCATTCATCTTTTCTACAATGATTTTAAGTTAGTCAATAAGCATCGTGATTNCTCTTATTGCATAATAGCGCCGCAGTTTCCCTACGGTCCGTTACGATTTATTCTGCCAGCCAATCAGCGATTAAATCTCTACAGTGCAGAAACACTTCTTCGAAAGTGACGGTCGAATGTAGAAGGATTTTAACAAGCTAGCCGCGAAAGTGTGAATTAAAGTGGTATAGATACCCGGGCACAGTGAAATACCTAGAAACTGCGCTGCAGACGAGCTTGCAAAGGGGGAGGAACTTATGCTCAGTTATCAGCCGCCCATGATACAGGCGTACCCATATCTTGGTGTAAACACAGGTTGAAATCCGTTTTAATTAAATTTACGTATTTATTTATTTACTAAGCCAATGAATATAAAAAAATTCTTATAGGCTAAGTAGACACATGTCTATACTACATGTAGGCTAAATAGACTATTTATAAAAAGTATTCAATTCAGTATCTCAATAAATTTAGAGATTCTATTGAACTCAATTAGAGCTCGAGTAATAGGAGCATTTCGAGCATAAAGAGTTTTAAAAAGACCAACATAGAAAAAATCCGAACTACGAAGGGCTCTAGCCGGAATATTAAAGAAAATCCTCCCAAGGAGCACGGGACAGTCAACATCACCGCGTATTAAATCGAAAACGAAAGACAAATATAGGGTCATTCATCTTTTCTACAATGATTTTAAGTTAGTCAATAAGCATCGTGATTCATAGCTAGGGATAGGATCCGAGAAGCGTAAATTACGCAACGCAAAGTATAAGAATACTTTCTGGATCCCTTAAATTCTAGCAGCATGGCACGTATAATATGGAGACCAAATGAAGGATGCATACTCCAGTTTGGAACGCACAAACGCAGTATATAAAAGCTTTAGCGTATAGGGATCGGAGAAATCCGAGCTATGACGCCTGACAAAAGCAAGCATGGCGTAAGATTTCGCAATAATAAAATTTATGTGGCTTGTAAAGGCAAGCTTAGAATCAAATATTACTCCCAAATCTTTAATTTCACTCACCCGTGACAGGGGCGAGTTGGAAATATGGTAATAGGTGTCAATGATATTGTNGCTATGACGCCTGACAAAAGCAAGCATGGCGTAAGATTTCGCAATAATAAAATTTATGTGGCTTGTAAAGGCAAGCTTAGAATCAAATATTACTCCCAAATCTTTAATTTCACTCACCCGTGACAGGGGCGAGTTGGAAATATGGTAATAGGTGTCAATGATATTGTCACGCATAGAAAATGTTAAATGGAAACACTTGTTCATGTTCAGGGACAAACGATTATTGTTACACCAGTTACTCACATTATCTAAATCGATTTNGCACGCATAGAAAATGTTAAATGGAAACACTTGTTCATGTTCAAGGACAAACGATTATTGTTACACCAGTTACTCACATTATCTAAATCGATTTGCATCAATACAGATTCATGATAGCTTCTAATGAACGAGTAGATCTTAAGGTCATCCGCATATAGCAAACATCTTGGTGACGCGAAGCAAGAGCAAATGTCGTTGATAAACAGAACAAACAACAACGGGCCCAGAATATTACTTTGTGGTACCCCAGAACAAGCTACAAACGGAAGAGATCTAACGTTGTCAACAACAACCATGCAACGACGATTGTGCAAGTAAGAAGCGATCCATCTAAGTAATACTGAGTGGAAACCAATGCATGCTAATTTTTTAATCAGGATCACATGGGAAACCCGATCAAAAGCATAACAGAAGTCTCTTATCAACTCTGATTGAAAGGTTGCGATACAATCGTCTGAGAAGACAGCTAAGTTAGATACTGTTGAGCGGCCTAGAAAGAAACCATGCTGCTCTGGACACACCATATTATTAACAGCGAAAAGCAATTTATTTTATGATGCACTCAAAAAGCTTTGCGTGGCGGTAAGCTTAGAAATATGCCTGTATGCTAATATCGCTTTTATTGCCAATCTTAAAAATAGGTGAGATGAAAGCCAACTTCCAAGCATCAATAAAAGTGCACGAAGATAGGGATTTGTTGAAGATTAACACCAATGGATTAACTAAGGAATCCAACCGCTTGTAGAAAACCGCAGACAAACCATCAACATCAGTGTGTGAGGAGGGTTTAAGACGAGCAATGCCGCTGAAAACATCTTCGGTGGACAATACTAGCTTGGCGAAGTCGATAGATGGTTATATAGCGAAGAAAACATTTTCCAAACTATCAGATAGAGATGCAAAATTTTACCTAAAACACTCGGAAAAGAGTGTGTGCATCTGCAGGAGTATTAACTGCTTTGTTGCCTAAGAAAAGAGAAGACGGTATATTAGAAGTAGATTTCTTCGCATTAACGAAGTTCCACAACGCTTACGGATTGGATTTTAAACTTTCTTCAAAACTTAAAATATAGTTTTTGTGCAAAAATTTATCCAACCACTCGAATTTCTTATTATAAATCGAAAAAAGCTGAATTTCGACTTTTTTTGAATTTGCGTACATAGAAATTGGTTTTTCTTATTTCGAAGTTTNTCTTTATATAAATCGAAAAAAGCTGAATTTCGACTTTTTTTTGAATTTGCGTACATAGAAATTGGTTTTTCTTATTTCGAAGTTTAATCAAGGGCGCATTATGCCAAGGTACTTTGTACTGCTTCTTTGTTACCAGAGAAATTACACTTTTACAAACGTCTACGATAGTGGCTCTAAAAACTTCAAAACACTCAGAAATGTTAAGATGACGGAACAAGCTGTACACCGAGTTACGTTTTTTTGCGTTTTGCGGGTAAAGCGGCTTTCTTTAAGAATACAATGTATAAAATATACATTTGTTTTGAAATTTGTTAGCAAGAAGAAACCAATGTGTATACCTAAAAGTTTGCGTTAGGATGATATGTATAAACCTTACTTATTTGCACAAAACTATCAAAGTTTTCTTTCTGCTACATAGAAGCAAATTGATTCTAATTATCGGAGCATTAGAAACATTTCAACGCCGATATCTACAAGTTTTAGGAAAGGATTTTAATTGTTTCACTGAATTAATTATTTGAAAAAAATATATATATACATAGCTAAAGTGGGAACCACGTGTTTCGGTGACTTATGGACTTATGGAAGGTTTCAAGATGAGGGTGAATAACTACACGATGAACTGCCTGGAAAATAATTTAAGAATTTCGATAATGCCATAATTAATCACTATAAGAAACCATTTATGTATGTACATATTTATTTTTTCTATACAGCCCAAAATATTGAACAGGCATACATTTTTGGTCTATTGTAATTTCCTTTTTTGTTTTTTTGTATTAATTGCAGTTGGTTTTATAAAGAGGATAGTTTGAACGAACAACGATAAAAATATTAGCTCTGATTTGTTGATACAATTTTTTTAGTAGAAATATTTTCTCGTCGCCAATTTTAAATTTTTTTAAGCGAAATTTAGAGATTTTTAGCGATGCTAAATACTCCGGAGTCGCAATTTTAGCTCATTCACTTTATCCGGTTCATCGCTAAAATTTTCCAAAATATGCAAATTTTTGCAGATGATTTTTAAGATAGAATCGCGAAAATCCCTAAAAATTGCTAAAATTAATTTAGCATTTTTTGGCGATGGAGTTTTAGCGATAGCGAACGTTTGAATCCGGGTGCAGGATTATTTAAGCTTGATAAAGAATGTTGTGAAGTATCACCGATTGACTATATGTATAAGTATATTTTATTGTAGACGGAACCAGATTTGTGTAAGAATTTTATTAAGAAGAAGCTGTTTTTTACCTAAGGTTGTTGTGCAAAATGCTGTGTTTGTCTAAACGATACCCAGCCAGGACAGATAAGAATTTTTACATTTGTATTTAACCTTTAATGAAATTAAAATAATATATTGTTAAATCTTCACACAAATAATTCATGAGTTTGTTCATCCGTTTACTAGTTTGCCAAATACATACGTTTAAAAAAAAAATCGCACAAACTAAAGAAGTTAGATCTCCACTTACGAATACATATGTATGTATATGAATAAAAAAAGAAAATGATATAATTTTTAAAATTAAGAACATTTTAGCGAATACTTGTTACTTAGCGACTTTTCGCATTGAAAAGTTTTTGTTTGATTTCTTTCAGCTTACCTGTGAGTGGCACTGATGGAGACGTCGGTGCGATCTTAAAGGGTTTACGAGAAAATCGATATGTTTTTCAAGTGTTGTAGTTGTTGTTCATGTTAGAGGAATAGAATCGGCGAGAGTTAATGACACAGCAGCGTTGCGTTGGATGATGCATTCGTGTATGTATGTGTGTGTGATTGTGTATGTGTGAAAGCGTTTAATTGAAGGCATAATTTACAAATGGTTGCATTTAATTTTTGATTGCACAAATATTTGATTAATTTTTGTGTTGAATATTATTTTATATGTAGCGATTATATATTGTGAGTGTATAAGTGTTGATTGATGTGTCAGTGATAAATGATTTTGTTTTCGGTTTGTACGTCGTATTAAGTAGTTAGTGAACAAAGACAGCAAGTGTATATTGAATTATTTTGTTGTTTCATTCAATTTAGAGTTTAACAATGTTTTCATATAAATTGTGTATTTGTTGTGTTGTGAAGTTGCGTACATTTGTCCATATTATTGCCATTAAATTAAGTAAATTTTGTTGTAATTTTATTTCAATCAACACCAAAAAGCGGCATCAACGGCAACAGGCAGACGTAGACGTAGAGGCAAGCAAAATATATATCCACAGACATTTTTGTTTATAAGTATAAGTACACATATGCAGTTATATCATTTCAACCATTTCAAGTCAATGCGATCGTAAGTAAGCAGACAGGAGCCAACGAAAAAAGTACGATAAAGTATTTAAGCGCACAAATAAATAATTTTCAATCGTTTTTGTGTTCAATATTTGTTGAGTTTCAATTTGTGCATGGATGTTTTTGTTTTTGTTTTAATTGGTTTTTAATGCAATTGAAAGATTTTGGTGTATTTATGTTTATGTTTTACTTGCAATAAATTATTTGTGTATTATATTTGCGTTTTTTATAAATTTTGCATTGTTTACCAATTTTCCAGACAATTTTGTGTCCATTGCACGATGTGCAATATATCAATGTGTATTTGTCGATTTTTTATTTAAATGGATTTTAAACCGATTTTTTTAGTATTGATTGTTTGGCAAGTGGTAAATGTGCGCACATGAAACGATTTTAGTGTTAAGGCGGTGGTGTTGTGGTTGTTTTGTATGTTAAATGTTGATCGTTAATTCAGTTATCATCAGTTTCAATTTGGTTTGTTGTAGTTTTTGTTTTTATTTTTATTTGTTGAGGCACAAAAACACATACATAAAAGCGCAAAACATAAGAAGAGAAGAAAGAACATAAATTTTCTGTTAAGTCGCATGTGAAATTAAATTAAGCGAATAATTATAGTTAAGTTTTGTATTATTCATAATTTGTAAAATATAGTTTTTTGCGATACATGGTGTTACTAGTTTAATACAACTCTTCAAAGCATAAATAATATCTATCAAAACGAAAGCTATTGAAGCTAAATAAACCACAGCATTATTTAAAAATGAAAAGATTTATTTATGCAAAACCAAATCGCATATACTGTACCATTCTAAATTCAAGCTCAACTAAAAAATATATAATTATTGGAATAAAGAGTTCAGATTGTCTGTACCCTGGGCACTACCTACGTTGACGATCATTCTGTCGGAAGTATTTTCATGTACTTGTAGCCTTTATACTGCACTTAAATTATCAGGCTAACAGATTAGTAAACTGAAATTTCGTTGATCGCCTATGCTTTTGTTTAGCTTCTGCTAGGCTGAGTCAGATGCACTAAAATCAACAGTGTTACATTTGTGAACCCTTTAAAAGTTTAGAAGATTTGGACAAGCTTTGTAGATCAGCAACTTAAGAAAGAGAACCACTTTTAGTAAAGCTTCAAACTACATTCTCAACATCATGTCTCTAGACCCTACAAGTTGTCAGATGGAAAACTATGCTGGCTTTGACTTGAAAGATATTCACAACTAGGGCTATGAAGCAATACGGAACCTTAGCATACTAAAAAGAAATCAAGAAAGAGTTAACGGCTCAAAATTGTTGTTTCTTCGGGAGAAACTCCTCTAAAACTATTACACTGATATCCAAATCAGTGCAGCCTTTTCTTGGCTCAGCAGTTATGAAGCTATGTAGATTCCTATTTCCTCTGGCCATTGAAATTATCAAAACCTTGGACTGCCATTGATTCGTAAAGAAGAGGAGTAGGCTTTATCTTATTTGGATGTCAGGATCTGTGAGCAATTATAATCGAATCGTGGGGAGAGGTAGAGGCCTTAGACATGCCAGACTTTTTGGTTATCCCTTAACTAGGAAAGATATGCATACATCTTTTGAACCAAACCAATATCAAGTTGATTTCATGCTACCTGACGGGCCATAATCACCTGCGCTCTCACATGCACCGGATGGGCATTTCCACAGGGACGGATTGCCGTCTTTACCGTGAAGACGAGAAGATGTCGGAGCACATTATGTGTGGTTGTCCGTCGTCATCGGATAACATCTTGGGCCGTCAGGGTTAGGAATCATCAAAGGGATTCAAAAGATCTTCTAGGTGGTGGTGCCCCTTATTCTGTTACGCCCAAAAAACTTTCATTGCATTACTGTGACATAAAACAAAACTTCAGGGCAGAAAAATTGTTTAAGGTTGAATTGGATAATTCACATTCTTACTAGCAAAGAATACTTTTGATTCCTAGATTTCGTTGTTTAATTGTTTTGAGTTTGAGCATATTTTTAGCCCATTCATAAAGCAATTTAAGAATTTGTTATCTTTTTATTTTTCACAAAACAGAAAGAAACGTTTCTAAGGCTTTGCCTTTATCCCTGATAACACATCCCTTATAGGAATAAGCGAACGTTTGGCAGTAGTTCACAGAAGATGATGGGTCAACGCTTGATGGAGGCATTGGTCGTCCTTAAAATTTGGCTTCCAGACCACTACAGAAGCAGTCGATTGTCTGCTCAACTTTGATAGCCAAGCGACAATTAAGGCCTCCTGCTCGGTAACAGTGCGCTTCGTGCGGAAATACCTGACCTCTCATTTATTTCCTTCTGATTTTTCTCTAAACAGGCTTTTACATGTATGTGCATTAGGGTGGTTCAAAAATACGTGTGAAAAATTAACCTCTTAAATTTTATGCTCTCACTCCCTAGGATTGTTCTATACCGAAACAGTTTTCCCCTATTTTTATACCCGAGCGCACTTGTGCACAAGGGTATTATAACTTTGTTCACATAACGGTTGTTTGTAACAGGCAAAACGATTCGAGATAGATATGTACAGACAAATGCATACATATATGATCAGAATGAAAAAAGAAGTCGATTAAGCGGTGACTGTCTGTCCGTCTGTGCCCACGATAACTCGAGTAAAAATTGAGATATCTTAACCAAACTTGGTATGTGTACTCCTTTTAAGCGTAGGACGGACGGTATTGAAAATGGGCAAAATCGGAAAATAACCACGCTTCTTCTTCTTTATTGGCGCTGTAACCGCCTAAGCGATTTTGGCCGAGTCCAAACCAGCACGCCAGTCATTTATATTCTGTGCTAACTGACGCCAATTGGAAATGCCAAGTGAAGCCAAGTCCCTCTCCACCTGGTCTTTCCAACGCAGAGGAGGCCTTCCTTTTCCTCTGTTACCAGCATCGCGGCCCGCGTTGAATATTTTCAGAGCAGGACCGTTTCTGTCCATTCGAATGACATGGCCAAGCCAGCGGAGCCGCTGAATTTTAATTCGCTGCACTGTGTCTATATCGTTGTAAAGCTCATCGTTAAATCGTCTGCGATATTCTCCATCACCAACGCGTAAAGCTCTGTAAATCTTTCGCAGAATCTTTCTCTCGAAAACTCCTAGAGCCGCCTCATCAGATGCTTTCATTGTCCATGCCTCCGCGCCATACACCAGCACAGGCATGATGAGTGACTTATAGAGTGTGATCTTTATACGACGAGAGAGGACTTTACTTCTCAATTGCCTACTCAGTCCAAAGTAGAAGGAAGAACAGACGTAGCCCTTGTTTTTACCGATAATATCGATGCCGTCGGCAAACGCCAGCAATTGTACGTTCTTGTAAAGTATTGATGCACAGTTGCCCACTCTAAGATAACATACGAATGCATATAAAAGCAGGGTTCGTATTTGCACACACATGCTCTGCTCACACACACGCCAGAAACACATTCAACTTGCACTCACTGCTCATACACATGTGTGTGCATAAGTGGAAAACAAACTCTACTCACAGAAAAGTGTGTGCTGTTTGTTATTAAGCACATGCACATGTGTGTGAGCCGATTTTTGTACAAATTTCAGCCCATGCACATGCACATAATATATTCTTAAAAGAATTTGTTTATTAAACGTTATTTTTTGAAAGACAATTCAATAAAAAGTGAGATGTTGTTTGTTTTTTATATGACAGAAAACATATTAAAAAATTATTTTAAGATTTGAGTTAGAATTCGAAGTGTATAAGTTTCTCTACGCATAGCACACACATGTGCGTGTGCTTTACATTAATAAAAAGAAAGTACACAAATGTGCCCGTGCTTTTTACCAAACGGCACACACATGTGATGTGAGCAAATTTTTAATTTTTTATATGCACAGCACACGTGTGGGAGCGTAAAATGTTAGGATGTGCTGCACATGTGTGTGCAAATACGAACCCTGTATAAAAGTGAGAANTCCATCACCAACGCGTAAAGCTCTGTAAATCTTTCGCAGAATCTTTCTCTCGAAAACTCCAAGAGCCGCCTCATCAGATGCTTTCATTGTCCATGCTTCCGCGCCATACACCAGCACAGGCATGATGAGTGACTTATAGAGTGTGATCTTTGTACGACGAGAGAGGACTTTACTTCTCAATTGCCTACTCAGCCCAAAGTAGAAGGAAGAACAGACGTAGCCCTTGTTTTTACCGATAATATCGATGCCGTCGGCAAACGCCAGCAATTGTACGTTCTTGTAAAGTATTGATGCACAGTTGCCCACTCTAAGATAACATACGAATGCATATAAAAGCAGGGTTCGTATTTGCACACACATGCTCTGCTCACACACATTCAACTTGCACTCACTGCTCATACACATGTGTGTGCATAAGTGGAAAACAAACTCTACTCACAGAAAAGTGTGTGCTGTTTGTTATTAAGCACATGCACATGTGTGTGAGCCGATTTTTGTACAAATTTCAGCCCATGCACATGCACATAATATATTCTTAAAAGAATTTGTTTATTAAACGTTATTTTTTGAAAGACAATTCAATAAAAAGTGAGATGTTGTTTGTTTTTTATATGACAGAAAACATATTAAAAAATTACATTAATAAAAAGAAAGTACACAAATGTGCCCGTGCTTTTTACCAAACGGCACACACATGTGATGTGAGCAAATTTTTAATTTTTTATATGCACAGCACACGTGTGGGAGCGTAAAATGTTAGGATGTGCTGCACATGTGTGTGCAAATACGAACCCTGTATAAAAGTGAGAAAAATCGAATTTTTTTTCTGATTAACTGCTACTTTTTCGATTAGCAGTGGTTGTTTTTATGATACATAGACATATTATTTTATTTTTAGTAGAAAATGTGTAACACCCTGTATCAACAAAGCAAACAAATTATTTGCGAATTAAATACATACACACATAAATACATACATGCATAAATAACTATGTATAAGCACATTCGGACATACAAAATATATAAATAAATAAGCCACTATGACAGTATTGCAATATAATTTAATTAGTTCATTCACTAAGTACAATTATTCATTAGTGGAATGCATATAGATTTAAACTTTTTGTAAAAGCTCTTAATTTTTTGTTCCTTTTTCCACATATATAATTCAATGCAAATGAACACAAGGGAGCGAACAAAAAATTAGAATAAATTCAAATAAACTCATAGCATAGCTGCAGGCCCAATGTAATGAAATCGAACACAATTAAATTATTTGCCATGGATTAGTGGCATACATACATACATACATATCTGACTTCGAGGGATGAAAGTAAAAAGCATACCCTGCAGGGAAACTCCGAACTTGTGAACCAAATTTTTAGCTCCGAACTGGATCTTTATCGCCAAAAACGAACCAGCCTGATAGTAACTAGATCCTCACCAGTGCAAAAACAGCGATATGTGCTACTTTTCAAAAACTATATTATTTTCCTTTTCAAAACTACATATCGCTAGCTAAGGTAAAAAAATGCCGCTGAGTCCACTTTTTCTAAAAAAATTAAATATCGATGCATGAAGCAAGAACAATTAGAAATGCATCATCCTCCAAAAGATCGAACTATCTGTTTCTGTTCAGTGATACGTAAATTTCCTAGGTCCAAAAAAGTCACAGAAATTGTGAAAAGTCCAAAAGAATAAAAGAATTGTCATTCGAAATCTATGTCTAAGATGACGAACTTAGAACTGTTTCGGAACTATAGAACGGTAGCAGTAGAACATCTCATCTTAGCTTATTTACTTTAAACTTATATTTGTTTGGCGGTTTACAAATACGCTTTCAATCTGCACTTCACAAATATTTTTTCATAGTTCATTTTTATATCTTGGGACCTTCTGAAATCTTAGCAATAACAGTAAGAACCACTGGACACTCAACTACAACCAAAGGTATACAAACGTATTTTCAAATGCTCAGTTTGAATTACATTCATTCAAATAAATTTTATTTCAAATTGAAAACATATTTCTTTGAAATTAATGTAAGATCGCTACCATGGCAAAACGAAAAAGACTCGTTTTGAAAAAAATTATATTACTTTTTCGTGTGTTGAATATAGGAGTGGTACAGAACTAGGGGCGAGCTATATAAATCCTATTTGTCGAATTTAAGACTGGTTCGGAACTATCGATAAAGCGATGCAGCAGGGAGCATTGACCCTTCGTTGGACATCGCATTGTTAAATTCGCTAGTAGCTAGCATGCAAACGAACATCAACGCGCACTAGTCATGGTTCTAAATTCTCTACTACCGAATCACTTCGGCACTAGTGCGTTTCCGCACAGGGTATGTGTATCTGTAGTAAGCATGTATGGATGCATGTATGTGAATGAGGAGAACGGGTATGTTATTATTAAATTAATTACGACCAAATAAATAAACAAATGCGGGCTTATTGATATAAATGAAAGTTGGCTTATTTCTTATTATTTATCTTTTGCGTTGTTGGTTTATAAATGAGGTAGTCAATTTATGTACATTTTTAGAAATACATATAGCGTTGTGAGGCTTTCAAATTGCACAGGTTTTTACAGTGTTCAGGTTGAAAGGAGTGTGAAGTATTTTTTTTATACAATTTCTGTAGTAAAATGCAAAGTGATTATTAATACAAAATCAAATATGCACATAGAAAAAGCTGGTAAAGATTTCTTCATGCGTTCAAATGCAAAGGCTAAAACTTAAAAAAATTACTAAAACTAAACAAACAAAATTATAGTTAATCTAATATTATAAAGCAAAAATAACGAACACAATTATTGTTTTGGGGATTCATATAAAATAGATAAATAATATCAAAATATTTCTAATATAAAAAAAAAAAAAATATGTATAAAAATATAATATAATTTATAAAGACCTTAACCGTACATATAATCGTGTAGAAAATTAAACTTAATAAAAATTAAAATGTGTCATTTTAGGTTCCCTCGCATCTTTTACTATCAAATACTTAAACTCAAGATCTACATACATTATTCATAAATACCTATCGGTGTAATTATAAATTTCATTAGAAATAGTTCATTGTCTGTACTTACATTTATCTTGACGTCTGCGGCGGCGGCATATGCAAATGATGATGCAACAAATTATAATCACGGCTAAAAGTAGCGCTAATATTGAGGCTACCAGGATAATGAGCGTAGTCTTATCCCAGCGTTGCCACCAGACAAGTTGTTCTGTGAGCGAATGAAAATATTGAAAAGTACGCCTTTTTAAAAATGTTTACATAATAAGGAGTACAAATTTAACGGAAAACAAACTAACACACAACAAATTGCTTAAAGGGGAAAGAGTGCTTGGAAAAAACAGAAAGTGAAAATATAATTTTTAAGTTGAATATATCGTCACCTGAAATTCAAAAATACGTAACTAATAAAAAATTCAAAATTCACGTTTTGATTTATATAATGGATTTCATCGAATAACAATCCCCACATGTAGGGACGTTCCGATACCATCAAAGTATCGATACCTACTTATATCGATAACTTTTCATCCTTTTATATGCAACAAAGCGAAAGTAATTTTCAGGCGTTATCTGTGACATACCTTTTGCGACACCTGAGTGGTAGATCGACCTATCTCGGCAGCCAGATTGAAGCGCCCTATCTGAGAAAATTTTTCAAAAGCACCCTATTCCAGAATTTGATTGAAAAACGCCTTATATCAGAAAACTTTTCAAGACCACCCTCTTTCAGAACTCGGTACAAAAACGCCATATCTCAGCTGCCGATTCAAAGCGCCCTATCTCAAATATTTTCAATGTATTTTCAGTTGAGGTATCGATATGTTTATTTGATCATTAGAAGTAATGTCATTAGAAGTAATACGATTACTTAGACAAAAAATTATAGGTTCCCACAAAACGTTACGGCTACAAGGCATTGCTTGAACTTTGTAAAACTATATCCCCTCTTTAGATTTTGGCGGTGACATTGCTTAGATCAATTACTTTTCATAAAAGCGAAGCAATTATTTTCCATAGAAAATATATGACCGAAAGATATGGCACTTCCTCAAATCGATTCGATACAAGTACTTTTATTTCGATAATAAGTAGGTATCTATGAAACGATTCAAGTAAAAAAAGTAGTTGGTATTGAAACAAAAGTATCGAGTACATACTCGTATTTACTTATATCGGAACATCCCTACCCACATCATTTTATGAAAAAAAAATTTAAATATTAGTCACGACTTTTTCTATTTATGTAATTTACGATGTTGTTACGTCTTTTTGCATTTCAAGTGATGATATGAACCGTTTATTTTGAAAGTGACATGCCGTTCGACTACAGTGATGATTTTCCTGCATCTGAATGCGCCTTTTATTCGTTCAAAGATAAAAATGTTTGTCATTGGTTTATGACGAAAGAGCGATTAACAAATGCATTCAGTTAGAAGTAGCCAACCTTTTAAGCATAAAAGGTGGAAACTACTTATGTCACTTTCAAAATAAACGACTCTTATGTTAAAGTAATTGAAATGTTTAGTTTGATTTCGTATTTGAAAGAGAAGTATATTTGGTTTAAAGTAACATATAAACGGCTGACTGGAAGATCGACCAATCTCGGCAGCCAATTCGAAAACGCCCCGTCTCAGAAAACTTTTCAAGAACGCCCTCAGAATTTGATTGAAGAACGCCCTATCTCAGAATTCGGTCCAAAAATGCCATATCTTAGGTGACGATTCAAAAACGGCCTATACACATTTTGAATATATTTTCAGTTGAGAAAGGTAGAGCGTTCTTCAGCCAAATTCTTAAAAAGGGGCTTTTGAAAAGTTTTATGAGATAGGGCGTTTTTGCACTGGAAGCAGAGACAGGTCGATCTTCCACTCAGGCCTCGATATATGTTTGTATGTACATATATTATGCTGGAAGTGTGTATACTTTTTAAAACTACATATAAGGGTCCATGGAGGTCTGCAAAATGTATAGCATGCAAAGTTGGAGAAGATTGCTCAGCTTATGAATTCGACAGAACAAAGTGTACTAGTACAATCTTTGCAGTGTCAGACTTGTGATCCACTGTAGGCCTACACACAAACATCACCCCATGATCATGAATCTACAAAACTGTGTTCCTGTACCATATATAATAAGTTAAACTGGGTTTGGCGGCGGCTGTGGTGTAGTAGTTAGCAGTGCGCACTACTATTCCGCAGGGACTGGGTTCGAGCCCAGTTTCCGACCAGCATTAAAAAAATGAAACATAAAAAAAAATGTTTCTAATAGCGGTCGCCCTTCGGCAGGCAATGGCAAATCTCCGTGGGTGCCAACATCCAGGCGCATGCCACAAATCGGAAGATAAGCTCTGCCAAACACTAACATATTGTGTAAGCGCCGAACTTTTATTAGGTCTCATTATATTTATAAACACTTTCACATAATATGTGCCCACAGCAGTTTCAAGGATTCTCCAGTAAGAATCCTTTCTGTTAACTATTTAATGCGTTATATGCGTCTAGTACTGCAGAAAGTTTGTGTGCAAAATTGAAAAGCTTTCCATCATTTTACATAGGACTTCGGCACAATTCTAATGCATACTCGCTGCATGTGTGAGAAGTTTTCTGTTTCTTTTACATGCAATTCCCTATTAAGTTATCATATATGTATGTATGTAGTAGTCACTTTTCAATTAAATATTATTATGCGATAAATAAAAGTGTTAGATAATGCAAAGAATCCTATATTAATATCGCTAATGTGCAGAAAATGTGTTGATTTTTCTTTAAAATTTTATAAGTGTATTGGCCCTGTAGTCAAATGTACCAGTTGTAAACTACCTCACAACTAGTATGAACCGCATGCCCAACGAGTCAGCGAACTATGTTTTTTCCATGGAATAAACTGGTATTTTTATAACGGGGATGTCCTATTAGATGGCAATTGTAAGATTTCGGTCAGAAATATACCAGTCTCATACTAGGCCAAAATAGACAGAAAAATATTGGACCGAAACCTCTACTTTGGGACTTAAAAAATAAAATGAATAAAATAAAACAATAAAAACTTTTGATTAAGTATAATTTAAAATATTATACATTTTTATTATTATTCCGGTTATCCAAAGAAACATGATTTAATTAATAATCATTATGAATATTAGTCATTATTTAATAGGTCTGGTCTAATTGGAAACAATATATCCAAATAAAAGTTATAATATTTTGTGTACTTTATTGCATTAAACTGTCGAAGTCAAGTAAAACCGGGCACGAATAAATCGTTTTGTACTTGGTACAAGTCTGGTCATTTTTGACCTAGTTCGGTTTCAGTCAGGAAATTCTAGTTGTAAACTAGTATTTTTCCTGACTAGTTTGGGATTTCACTGCAGGGGGAGAATGCGATAGGCCGGTGCTGCTGGTTTCGTTCCTTTCGGAACGGCCTCGCTCGGCTGGGCTCCGCTTCCTGTGTGAAGGTACACTTAAGGGCTGTACCCTCGCTACAGTGTCCTTCACATCAAGATAATTTTGTTTGGTTGAAATTGAAAAGATAACAAGGTTTTATTGGTCGAAATTAGATAGGCTATTTCATTGATTATCACAACTTTGATTAAGTGATGTTGGTGACCAGGGCCGAAGAAAATAAGCAAGAAAAAATCCATTTTAAGTGCTTAGATAAGCACTAAAACATGGGTAAATATGCTTGCAAGCAATAACAACAATGCCTTCCCGTAGAGACAAACCATTGGTTTTAAATTTTTGTATCCAAGTAGGGCTGAAGAAAATAGGCAGAAGTTACGGTTAAATAAAAAAATCTATTTTTATGTTGTTAATTGTTACAATTTCTTGAGTTCGACGAATAAAAAACGTCCAAGAAATGTTAAAGAAAAATTTATTGAGTCAAATTTTCTTAATCAGTACGAAGTTCTTAAGAATTTTGCTACACTTTCTACTAAAGTTTGCCAAATTTTCTTTGTGAAGAGTACAAGGCACCCTTGTTTTTAAAAATATCAGCCCGTTTCAATATTTTGTAAGTGAGATAGCGGTATCGTTAAAATTAAGCTTGGAAACCCTGAATAAGCAAAATAACCAATTCCAAGCGAAAGCTTAAACTTTTCGGCCCTGTTGATGACTCCTCCCTATTTAAAAAGAATTCAATTGAAGTAATGTGGTGAAGTGTAATAATTTTGTTGATGTGTTGATAAAAGAACCCTCTATTTTAATCTATAGCCTTAAACTGTAAGTTTACTTTTTAAATTCCTGAGACGTACTTCACCTTGAGAAGAATCAATTTTGCTAGTCCTTTATAAGACTAAGAAAAACCTTTTGAAAATCTATCCGAGGTCTTTTTCAAACTCCTAAAACTAGATAAAATTAGTTTGGGAATTAATGGTTGTAACTCGTTTTTTCATGTAAAAGTTGATTAACAGCTAAAATTTAAGTGGTCTGTCAAACTTGGTAAATTTAAAATCCCACCTTTTGTTTTCATATTTTGCATGAAATGTGTACTAAACTATGAGAAAGGAAAATGACACACAAATAAGCAGTGTCCTGGTTTTCTTTTGCTAAAGAATAATAAAAACTGTTGTTTACGCGTGAATGTGGAGAGCCACAGAAATGCCACCATGCTCCATAAAACCCAAAAAAAAAAGAATGTATGTATTTATTTATTTGTATATGTACATATGCATGTTTCAGTGAACTGACAATAACGCGTAAACATGGTATGAATTTTGTTAGTAATTCCCCCATGCATATAAGTGCATTAGGGCGGTCCTTAAATATAGGAAGTACATTTTTTCACCAGATTTCCTTAGCCTCAACTCCTACGTCGATGCTACTATAGTCGAAGATATCATATATAAATTTTGGTCAAAGTTAACATTACCCTATGAAGACGTCTAAACCGACTCCAATCGGGACCAAAATTTACATTTGATTTCCTTGACTTTAGTAGTATTGATTTTAGGTATTAAATGAAAAAAGATATATTTAATTTTTTGAGTCCATAGAAGAATCTGGATTGGACCCCTTTGCGACACGCCTTAATCGACTCTAATTGGGACAAAATTTATATGTGATATCTTCGTCAATGATAGTATGGATTTTGGGTAATAGATGAAACAAATAATAATGTTAATTTTTTGAGTCTCTATAGAGTAATCTGAACTTTGACTCTGAGCGACACGCCTTAACCGTCTCTAATCGGGATCAAAATTTATATGTGATATCTGTGATCGTGGTGTTACCGATTGGGGGGGGGGAGGGGGTAAGACTGAAAAAGATCATTCATTTGATTTAAGGACCACCCTTATGTACATATACATGTACTTGTATATCATCAAGAACTAAGACACGACCAATACAGGTACATATATATCTCTCCATTCCCTTTTTTAAAGGTACTCTTGCCAGTGTGCAAAAAGATCTAGTTTGGAATTTTATGGTAGTAATATACTTGAAAAGTTTTTAAAAATAAGGCAGCAATTTTGTCAAGATATCGGATGAAAAATCATATGTATTGAAAACCTTATTGTGTAACCTTAATACTTTTTAAAACTTTGGTTTGCTTTTTACAATATGAGTTGAGGCCAAAATCGCTCCGTCGGATACTGTAATAGGCATGAATATGAAAAAATTTGTTTGGTTGAAATACTTATAAACATGTATACAATCACAAGATTTGTTGTGATTGATGTTGCTCAGGCTGCAGATTTAAAACGTGCACGTGTCCACCTCGAATCGAATGCTTGTTCTAGATTCTGATAACCTAGGTACTCAACAAAGAAACTTAGTGCAATCAGTTTTTACTTTCTTTCCACAGACTTAGCTAATCAGATTTATGTACGAGCGGGCATGAGCACGGAGCGAATTCCATGGGGCATCTACATGCACTCAGATAAAATACATATGCACATATCTATGTATGTGCATTAGGGTGGTTCAAAAATTAATGTGTAAAGTCGGAATTTGTATGCTCTCAACCACTAGATTTTTCTATACCGAAAAAAATATAACACTATTTTTTATTTTGCAGTAAAAAAATATTTAGAGAAAGTTTTCCAAGTATGTATTTTATATGGGGAAACAACAGCATTTCGTGGAAATGGTATTAAATTCTTAAAATTCAATAATTTTCGATCGGAAGACTCTGTTTCTCTGCAGGAGGTTCCCTACACTAATACCAAATTTTTTATTTAACCATTAATAACTTTAAGACCTCCAAAAACCCCGAGCAATGCAATGGTAAAATAAACAATTTGGTATTATCATTGAAAGTTTCCAGAAGAGAACCAGAGTTTTTTGAACGAAAAATATTGATTTTCAGGAATTCTATATCATTTATGTGGAAAGTTTTTTTCCATAAAAGTTTTTGAGCGCCTTGAGCGACGTCTTAATATTTTTTTATTTCGAAATAAAAAATAGGGGTATAATTTTTTCGATATAGAACAATCCTATGGGGGTGATAGCATTAAAATTCCGACTTTGCTTTTTTTCGACCACCCTAATGTTCATATATATGTATATGTCACATGATTTTCTGCAAAATTAAGAGACAGTCTTGCAAAGCGCTAGTTCCGCCCTACATATTTCAGAACTATCTCAGCAAAACGGCTGCAGAGTGGGTCAGTTGAAACTTGAGGTGTGCTAGTTACGCTGTCATCAAAGTTTCTCACATTTAGCATGTGAAAGCTGAGAAGTAAATGTACAAATTTCACTTATCGTACACTCCCAGAGAAGACCTCAGATTCTAACACCACTGGTCGCGAGCTCAAATCGCGGTGGAGGCAGTTTCAATCTGCAAAAGAAAATAAAAAACTAAGATACATATATACAAAACCGCGTCTTAAACTTTTTTCCCATAAAAAACTTATTGTGCCAGATCTGTCCAAAATGGAACCAGTTCTGAACGAGTTCTAAAGTTCTGCCGAGGGGAGACAATTTTCACTTCGTAGGACATCGCCATGTTTAAAGATAGTTGAAAGCATTGATTTGGGAAAGATTAAGAACCAGTAAAGGCCCTAATCAAGCTAGTTTAGGGCAAGTACTGAACCAGTTTGATTTGCTGCATGGCTCCCTGTAGAGAAACCTCGAACGGCTGAACTAAATTTATAGTTTAGTACTAGATCTTCATCGCAAAAAACGAACCTTTCCAATAGTAACTAGATCGCCACCAGTTCAAAAGCACAGATGTTGTACTTAAAATAAAAATTATTTTTAGAAATCTATATCTAAAATGACGAATTTAGAACTGGTTCGAAACTATAGAAAAAAGTATGCAGCGGGGACTTGTTTACTTTAGATGGTGCTTTGCTTAGCGGGTTTTTCGTTCAAATACGCTTTATTTCTGCACTTCGAATGCTTTTTCATAGTTTGGTAATACAAAATTAAAATTTGTGTTAACATTTTAACATTTGGGACCTTCTGGAATCTAACCAATAACAGCAAGCACCTCAGCTACAGCACAATTCGATTTATATTCATTCACACAAATTCGATTTGAGATTGAAAACACATTTCATTGCAAATAGTTAAACATCATGTATCCATTTGTGCGAGTACACAAATAAAACTAAAAGCTCAATTATGCAAGACTTATACTTGACTTGACTTGAAAATTATTTATGTGGCAAATGAGACGCGCATGTATGTAGTTACCCTAAAGACCAACTTCACCAAGAAACTTGGAGAACAATAGCATTTTGACTTCCAAGTTAAATTTCTAAGTTCAAAGAGAGCCGTGAGAGAATCATGCTGCCATTTCATTTTTTCATAAAATCCCTACAAATATACCACATAAATATAATTTTTTGTATAAATGTAATTCATCTGGCAACCGAAAAACAAACAAAGTTAAATTCAGTAAGTTTATACAAAAACAACATTTCAGTTAAAAAACACTTCTGCGCGAACTTTTGCTTCTTCTAGATTACCTAGCGCAATGTTTTTAATACAAATAAAATAATACCATCAATTGAGACCAAATTGCTTTGACTCTAAGATAAATCAATAATAACAAATAAATATTTTGCTAAGTATTTGGCAGAGCTTCTCCTCTAATTTGTGGTGCGCGTCCTGTTGGACCTACAGTTTTACGTCGCCTCCGAACGGCAAATGGTTTTTATTGCCTGTCAAGGGGCGAACACTTTTAGAAAAACACATTTCTAATTTTAAATACTGCTCGGGCCACCGATGGAACGAGGTCGCATGGAGTGGTAGTACACACCTCTCTAACTACCCATCTACAGCGAGCGTTTCTAAAATAAGCCAGTAAAAAAAGGTATTTACCATCAAAAAGTGTTCCATTTCTGATTTTAGATTCATCATCGAAATGGACTTGCAAGTTTTTTATTCGAATTTCCACTGCAGCATACCCTCAAAATATATATGTTGCATTAGGGAATGCACTGTCAGCATCTAAGCAGAGTTTTCCTTTGTCTTTATACCCATTTTGTATATTTGTATATATCTGTATTCAAACACATACCAAACACATTCAAACACATTTATACTCATATAATCTCTGAGTTATGGTGCATCCATTTGCATTACCACCACATGAAACAAAAACTAAGATTTTAGTAAAAAGCTTAAAGCGATAGCATGCATGTACATACATATTTACATACATATGTATATGTGTGTTTGTTTTGTTAAATAAAAGCGTGTTCTCATGACAATGAGGCTTAACTACACATGCATATGTATGCTGGGAAGGTAATAATAAATTTCAACAATATAAATTTTCATTTAAAATTTCAAAATTTGTAAAACAAAAAAATGTTTGTATGTTTAAAGAATGAATGGTAGCAAGGATTTATGGCGGATTATAGCGCATTTACTTCTACTTACTTTTTGGTCGTACTGTTTGTTGTTAGTAAGCAGTATTTCGTTGTTTTTAATTGCGAATTTATATGTTAATGAAGCGTTATTTGCGTAAAATATGAAAGATGCAGAAGAGACATAAAAGGAAAGAGATGGAAATGGTTGATTTAATTAAAAATACCGGCAACTTAGGCATATTTGTAAATACATATATATATATATACCTCGAAATATTGTACATATCGACTGCTGAGTGGAAGATCGACTTATCTCGGCAGCCAGCTCGAAAACGCTCTATCTCAAAAAACTTTTCAAGAACGGCCTATTTTAGAATTCTTTTCTAAAACGGCCTATCTCAGCTGCCGATTCAAAAACGCCCTATATCAACACATTTTCAATACATTTTGAAGTGAGATAGGGCGTTCTTCAACCAAATTCTGAGATAGGGCTGTTTTTCAATAAATTTCTGAATTAACGCGTTCTTGAAAAGATTTTTGAGATGCGCGATTTCGAACTGGCTGCCGAGATAGGTCGATCTTCCACTCAGCAGTCGATATGTACCTATGAGACATTCTTTTTCATATCGGACACCAAATTTGGTGGCACTCTTACGAGTGAAATAAGCTATCACGTGTTCGAGGATTTTTTTTATATATTTTTTTCCTTCGGAGATATGATCTGTCAATGTTTGCATTTTTTCGTTACTCTGACTTATCATGTACTACTTCAAATCATTATATCTCGGGTTGTGTGCATCGTAGAGACTTCATCGTTTTAAAGCTAGCAAAATTTCTGAAAAGGTATCCAAAAAAGGAAAAAAGTTTGTGGCAGAAACGGATACGTTTCTGGCTGTTTTTCTGAAATTTTCCTTATTACATTTTTCATTCATTACGCTTTTCATGGTTCGAAAACAAAAAATAAGCAAGTAAGAGCAGCGCTGTCTTCGGCTATGCCGAACGCTTCATACCTTTCATGAACATCAGAAAATTTTACTTTAACAGATTATTACATTTGACAAAATTTTTATATTCACAGCATACATAGGTAGAGGAGTTACATATATAAAAAATCACATCTAAACAATCAGAGGTATGGAAGATATACCTTATAATGATGAATGAAAGTAGAGCCAAATTTCATTTTCCTAGCTGCATAAATTGAGGAGTTACAACAAAGAATCTCATATCTGAACAATCACTTGTATGGGGGCTATAGGTTACATTAACCTGATTTTTGTAATTTTCACTGCAAGTATTCTGTTAGTAATGGGTGAAAATAGTACGAAATTTCAAGTTCTTAGCTGCATAAATGGAGAAGTTATAACGAAAATTCGCATATCTGAACAATCAGTTGTATGGGTGCTATATGTAATAGTGGCCCGACTTTTCCGGTTCCGACAAATGATTAAAACATTCTAAAAATACACTTAAATATTTATCAAATTTCAGTCCGGTATCTCGAAAACTGAGAGACTAAGTTGCATACAAACAGACGGACAGACGGACATGGCTAAATTGGCTCAGCTCGACATTCTTATCATTTAAGTATAAATTTTTATGGGTATCTTCTTATTCTGGTACTTACAAACATCAGACCGAAGTTTCAATACCATTCTGTGCTCATAAAAGGTACAAAAAATAAGGAAGCGCCTGACGGCATTCAAATTATCGGAAATAGCCTCCCAATATTTATAAAAGAAGTAAAGTCCAAAAGAAAATCAATAAGAAAAAAATGCATTGCCTATCAAAATCCACTTGTAATAATTTGAAATATAGGCAGAAGCGAATCGTTAGCTTAATTCACAAAGGCCCTAATCAACACATATTTCAAAACTACGTTTTTCACAGGTTTTAGTAGGATGTATTAAAATACACTTTCAATAAAAATTTTAAAGTGTTAGTACCAAAAACAACGGAGTTACAGGACACTTTTTAGAAAGCCCGAACTATTTTTGATACTCTTTTATAATAGGGGTATTCTCTGAGTCTTGCAAAGCCCTTGCATGGTGCACAGATTGCACGGATTGCACGGTTAAAACCGGTTTTCGTATGGGACAGCTTTGCAAACCGTGCAATCCGTGCACCGTGCAAGGGCTTTGCAAGACTCAGAGAATACCCCTAATGTTTTTTGCTTCTGTCAAATAAAAAAATTGTTGGGCCTTTGTGAATTAAGGTAACAAAATTCCAAAAGTTTACTCGATACTAATTTTTTATCGCTGATTCCGTATTCCATTATATATTTTTCTTATTTGTTAGAGCTTGCGAAATATTACGAAATTGGCGAATTTTCGGTTGCAAAATTTGGAAATACCTATTTTTTCATAATATGGAAAGCTACATGCTATTGGTAAAAATGTTTTACGCATAATTCGACAAAATATATTTTTCAACAAAAACAGGAATTTTTCCGAAAAATTTGCAAAATCATTTCATTGGAAAACGCATGATTTAGACTCAATTCCGCATATTGTTTCAAAGAGTCAAGGTGGTATGTAAAAAATTGTGGATAATATCGCAAGTGTGCGTATTTTCGCGCTATGAGGAGGGGTTGGAGTGTTTAGGACATTTTCAAAAAATTGTGTCGGGTTTGCATCACACAAAAATGGCAGTCCTTATTTTCTTCCATATAAAAAGAAATTTCCAGCATTGTCGAGCACCCTTTATATGGAAGAAAATGCATAACACCGTCAGCCAAACAAATTATTAAGAATCAACGCAATCTTCTAGACGTCTTTAAAGTTGTACTTTAACCTACTATTGGGTTATAAGACCGTATCTCTCTCTCTGTGATTTTCTTTAACAAATCAAATTCGTGAAATATAAGAAAAGATCACCGAGTATTTTTTTGGAGCTCATAAATTTCAACCTTTTTTGTAAGTAGCAAATTTTATTATTATTTACTTTTTTTGTAGACGAAATGTTTCTTATATCGCGAAATACAGCGCCCAGCTGCGGCGCCCATACATTTCTTTTCTATTTTGAACATGACTCCCAAAATTTCAAAACGGTAAATCTATGACTTTTGGCTGTCGACTCCTAAAAATGAAAGACTTGATGGAATAATAGATTTTGTTTGTGGTAATATAAGTTTAAGACCTAATGACAGATATGTTGTGGAACGATTTTCTGTCATCCCTTGTCAAATTTGGTTTGGAGAAAAACCAGTTTCGGTGTTGTGCCATCTTCAGTATAATTTTTCGTTCAGAAATTAAACGCCGAAGCCGGTTTGCCTCCAAACCAAATTTGACAAGGGATGACCGAAAATCGTTCCACAATATATCATACTCCTGCCCTGTCGGAAACACCAACAACCAAAATGAGAATCTAATGATAGAATTTGATAAATTAAAATCATATTTTCGAGGCCTAACTCAGAAATTAAGCCTAAAGTGGACACAAGTTTTCCCAAAAAGAAAGCGGTTTTTTACCATAAATAAAGATTGGCTCGAATTTCAAATAGACTTGTCCCAATTTTTATGTTCTAAGTTTGGTAAGACGACTTCTTCTGCTGGTTGGCCAACTAAATTTTGAGGATTGTTGCCAAAAATTTAAAATGAAGAAGGATCCACTTTTTTTGACCGCTCAAGTATTACTGAAAAATCGACGCTGGTTTTTGTAAATTACACTTGTTATATCGCCAAAGTCATCACCAAAAAAAAATTAAAATTATTAAAAATCAATACGATTGATCGCTTAAATCTTGAACCCGTTTAACTAGAATTTCATAGCCGACGTTCCTGCATAACCATAATTTTCCTAAAAACTGTGATTAAAAAGTTTAAAATTTTATTGAACTTGGGGCTTTTTTTCTAATGAAAAAATTGTGTGGAAAACTACAACAATTTACATATGGTAGAAGCTATAGCTATTATTTCGGATATCATCGCAAATATTTAACAAAATTTACTATGCACTCATTTTAGATCCCCGGTGTACCTCATATTATCTTTTTGAATTTAGTAAAACTTAATTAATTTGTAAGAAATATGAAATTGCATTATAATGTTTGTGTTTATGCCGTGCGCAAGTACTTACAAAACGATTTAATAAATTGATGAAAACTTTAAAGATTTTTTAATTTTATGGTAAATAGGTAGCGGGTCGCTATTCGATCTTGCCCATTCCATGACCAGAAGAATTCATTCAAACATAATTTGTGCAAACTTTCATCCCGATATCTATCTTAGTTCTTAGAATAAAAATTAAATTGCGTTACTAGAGCAAATTGTGCAAATTGTGCAAACTGTGCAGTGGTCCATGTGCTGTACGGAAGGTTTAAATACTGCTGCTCTTGATGCTGCGCTACATTTACCATTACCATAAAATAGCGAAATAGGCAGGAAAAGGCACTAGAAATCGCAAAAAAGGCNGAGGTTTAAATACTGCTGCTCTTGATGCTGCGCTACATTTACCATTACCATAAAAAATTAAAGAAAAATATCTTAAAAAAGGCAAAAAAGGGCAACATCAAATGTGCATATATGGAATAAGGGAAAGCTAAATCGNTAAAAAATTAAAGGAAAATATCTTAAAAAAGGCAAAAAAGGGCAACATCAAATGTGCATATATGGAATAAGGGAAAGCTAAATCGTGAACATTCGTAATCGAATATACTCTATTCCTTTACCAGAAAAAGGCAATTTACATAAAATCCGATCCCTGACCATTACTTTGCACGTTTACATGAATACATGGAGAGGCCTTAACACTAGTAAGGCTCAAAAATCAACATACATTGAAAGACAAATAGGGGTAGCTTAACCAAACTCTTTTAAAATTAATTTTAGTAACAAAAATTTCTGTTTAAACTTATTCTTAAAAAAAAATATATATATATTTACATTTTTATATTCTTATTTCTGTAAAAGTTCGGTTATCAAAATGTGCCAATTAAGATGCCGTGCAATAAAGCCATACATCGGTAATAATGCCATATTCTTTATTTCACTTTACATTGAGAAATAAAGCCATATTCTTGCGTATAGTCTTGGAAGTGAAATAAAGCCATTATGGCGTTATTACACCTTTGAGAAATTTTTG